ATGCTTAGTAGTGGCTATAAGATTACAGTGTTGTCCTCTTGTAGTGTACTGTTAGTGATGTGGAGCTCAGTGAAACAGAGATCTGAGTGATTGAGGTCAAATATAGGGCAAGACCTTTCCAGATGTATGTGTGAGTGGAAAATTAAGAAGGTCCCCGAGGTTCCTGAAGACCCTGGGGCTATCCACAGCATAAGTTTATGTGTTTGAGGTGATAATGTAGTAGGTTGATTCAGACACTTGATTACATTAAGCATTGAGTGGAGCTTTGATCACATCTACAAATACTTACTCGCTGAATTGTAAAGCAATACATATAATATGAAGAAAGGTACGGCATTGTTAGAAATTAAACAAGAAAGTCAAGGATCCTTATTGTAACCCTAACATGTCTGATGTCAAAGGTTAAAGATTTAGGGGCTCACTTGATTCAAATACAAAAGACAGACCTCAAGACCTCCCTTCGTTTCAAATACTGTAAAAGGATAAATATGACCATGGCTGCTGTACTGGAATCACAGAGTATGTTTTTAACAAGTCAGCAGATCTATTGATCAATACCATATATATCCCTGTTGGGGATACCCATACCATCCCTCTGACAAGTGACTTGTGAAATTAGGTTTATATCCAAAGATTCAGTCTGCTGAAAAGTTATTTTAGGAAGGTGGGTAACATATCTGATAATATATACTATCAGCTCAGAGACTTTGGTCGCCATACTTTTAACTGAAATATTTTGATAAGGGTTTACCATGTTTTACCAGGAACCAGGTTTACACTGGCCTCAAAGGCTTTTATCTTGATTTGTTTCCTTGTATTAGAAACTTGAATTTTTAGAGAACTTGTGCCAGTCATGCCAATTGTGTCAAATTCTCAAATCAGACTTTTCAGTAAATATTATCTGATTAACAGGGATGAAAAAACCCCAAGAATGTCTGCTTGCTTGAATAGTGATACTCCCAAAAAATATTTGAAATTCTACATGCCCATAGGATACCTTTAAAATTAACAAAAGTGGTCTGAGATAACAGGCTGGTGCTATTTTCCATACCTGATTAATCAGGTTCCTTTTGAAAACAATAGGTGTAGTTCTTCATGATTACAAATGTAGCTGTACTAGGAAATGGTTATATTCAATTTATGAGCCACATTTTTACTGTTTTCAAGGGACTCTACCATCTGTGTGTGTCGTAATATTGTATTTATATTTAACACACTCCTACCATCATGTTCATGATTGTGAAACTCCAGCAGTGTTTAATTAAGCATAATCTTAGAGCTAGCAGGATCCCTCATGAAGATACTCAGTGGAAGGATTTCCTTTATCCAAGAATAAAGATAATCATTTGCTAGAGTATATTGGCGTATCACTGATGTGTGGGAATCAATGGCAAGGACGAAGGAAGATATTCGCTACTCAAAAGATAAATCGATCCAGGCTTTTTATCCCTGCGCTCTCGTAACACTAGCCCAAAACTTGAAAAACCGTTAATGTTATTTATTAGGATGCCTTGTTGGCTTGATAATATTGAGGGGGGCGAAACCTTGCCTTGGATGATCATTTCTGGTCAAATGTACATAAATCAATATGTATCTCAGTCGGTTAGTCAGAGTTTTGACCAAATACTCATTTTCCAAATTTTTGCCGAGCACGAGTGAGGTTTGTATCTGATGTGGCAATCGCGTATCCAAATCTCCTGAGTGTTATGACTGGCACACGACACAGTGTCTTTATGTAGCTGTGATTTCTTTGAAATTCTGATAGGGAACAGGCAGAGCAGTTCTTGATTAATAGGAGGGAAACTGGATCAGCTGTATTTTTAGCCGATCTATTGATTTGGCCTATTTTGAGAATGCCGATGGGTACATCGTTTATTGTCAATTCTGTTGGATGTGGATTTATATCAATTGATGGCTAATGGATGAGCAGAATTTCCTCAATAATGCCTTTTGTCTTTTCCATGACAGTCATTTGATAAATTGTTTTGGGCGTCCTTCTTTGAATATTTTTAGATGAAAATGATGACAAGTTTTCATACTTTTTGCCCCAAATGACATGTAAAAACAGAAACATGATACAAGGACATGAATTTAACATGTTGAGTTAAAATTATGCTGTTTGTAGTAATTGTTCTTTGTTTTGTTCTTTGGCAAGTTTAGTTCAATTGTTCTTTGTGTCATCTATTACCATGATTACAGTTCAGTTCAGTGTCAAGGACATTTGACTGACCGCATGCAAAATGTCCTAAAGATACTTTTCAAATTTGGTAAATATAGAGAGGGATGTCCTCTCAAAAGTTGATGAAACCATGAAATGTGCTTATGCCTTTTTATTTTGCTTCGAGCAAATTCACTGATTTTGGTGTTATGTTTCCTAAACATAACCATGTAATGTCAACACTGTTTTTTCTTGATATGATCTTTGTATCATGTTCATGTGGTAAAGTCTTTGTAAGAATGTTGAGGAGCGGTGAAAATATATCACAGCTGCCAGTGTAAAGATATAGAAAGTTCTCATCAGCAATAGAATTTGGCACAAGTCCTATAGTTCCTCCAAAACTGCCCAATAGCTAAGGTATGATAAGAGTAAATGAAGTGCGGGGCTGCACCGGTGGTATACTCGTTGTAGCTAGAGTTACTAGTTTCGTCGAGTTTCGACTACCAGTCGAGAGAGACAAACCAGTCTCCTTACACTTCAATTCCACAGAACATGGCAAAGACAATGTTGAATACAACATTATCACACAATTCAGAAACAACCCTGAGATTGTAGAAACCACTACCAAGAGAAGAGCTCTTGAACTCAAGTAGATTTTTAAACTCCAAAGTTTTCAACCACATGGTCTCAATGACAATCTTGTAGGCTGAGTATCCTTTCAGTTTTGCCTCTAAGGTATTATACATGTTATAAGGACTAGTAGAAATTTGCCATTTTTAAGGGGTTTGCTATATGTTATCATTATAAGGATTAGTGGACTATAAACATGATAAATGTTAGTTTCTACCACTGCTCATGTGTTGTGGTTATCATTACTCAATGTATTATTAAAAGTATTAGGGCAAGAGCTCAGACAAGTGAGCTGTATTCCCCAGCAATAGGTCTCTACACATCAACATCTGCATGAATAAGACTATTTACCTAAGATTCACGTTGCCTTTACTTAGCCCAGATATAAAACATATCTGATTTATTTGTGTATCTAAATGTATATATAGTTAATGGGGCTGTGTACATGATGTAAACAAACTGATAAATCATTGTAGTTGACACTGTTGTTACGAGCGGATCCGTACACTACTTCATTCGAAACAAAGAGTCATCACACAACAAATTAAAAACAGTTTATTTCTGTCAGTCGAAGATCACGTAAGTCATAATAATCATAAGCAAGTATCAGTGAATACAATTGAAGATATAATATTGCTGAAATATTATCTTATGTTCCAACAAGAGCCAATGAATTTCACATTGCACATAAATCCATTGTAGTCCAATTGATGCACAAAGTTTGTAATTCACACATTGCCAACATGGCATACACAATTCAAGTTTCAAACACCACCGACATGGCACGTTCATTCAATTCCATTCCCAACCTGGAAACTCATCACTTTGTCTCTCTTGCTTGAATAGACAAATACCCAAGCTACAATTATATAACATCACTCTTTACTTGGCTGTAAGCTGCCAGGGCTTAAATAATGATGAAGGTGTGGTTGGCGAAGAAATGTCAGTGTTCATCACTGACCGTCTCTACACAAGTAACATGTATAGAAAGGATAAATATACTCTTCAAGTAAGTATAGATGTCATGGATACTCATAGCGCCATCAACACATGGTCAGATGAATGCCGCCAGTACTTCCAGCTGGAGGAGTCATAGCAATAGGATGACAATAGGTTAGAATGAGCTCTTCTGTATGACCGTTGACAGTTTGATTGTTCTCAATTTGTGAAGTGGTGTTCAGATGCTGTGGAACTCCGTGTTTCCTTACAAATGTTACACCAATGAGGTACAAACCTCTACATTTTAAGAATGTGACTGGGAAACCAGCAGCATGATAAGTTATCAATATTTCTATGTTATTCATAATGTTATATAACATATCTATGCTTCTTTGGGCTGGGACGTTACACCAACTGTGCGATCCGATATGTATCCTGATACCTTGTTCACGATCCGATATGTATCATGATACCTTGTTCACGATCCGATTCGTATCACGATACTTGTAAGTGCTCTTAATCTGTGGTGTGTAAGCTTTCCTTTTTCGTAGACAGCATAGTCAAATACCTGGCACACTGACGATTTACAGCTGGCAGTGTCAAGTATGATCCAAGGAATTGAAATATTTACTTTTTCACACTTTTTTCTTTTACTACTAATTAGTCTTTGGTGTAACAGCCATTAAAGTAAACATTTAAGGTATGAATCAATATCTTGTACTTAGTGTGCGACTTTGATTGATACTTGTATTGGGAAGTAAAATATCGCGATCCACTGATGCATCAGTGTATCGTCCCACCACTGATTGTCAACTTGCATTGAACATGGTGATGAATTTTCGACAAGACATTCTCACAAACCTAAGCTGTGACTAGACACACGTCATGAGGCATGTTAGGACTTTATCAATTTCACACATTACCCTCTTCTGTACCATTACCATATGTTCTTAGGATTCTAAAGAAATGTTGTGAAACTGGTCTCTTTTAGTCCCATGGACCAAATTTGAAAATGGGTGGAATCCTGGTAGTAGTGTCTCCATGTTGTTCATAGTGGGAGGCTGAAACTCACTGTGCCCAGGACCTCACTGCACCACCATGATCACTGTAGTATACTGGTATAAAACCCTGTCATGTCTTCATTGCTTTATAACATTTCTGCTTCTACTGGTCATAGTATATAATTAGTTATCATATGTATTATCATCTGCTTGATGCTGTTGCATATATTTCTATAGCTCTACTAATGTTATTTACTCTACATTACAAGCAGAAAGTTGGCCTTGTAAGTATACCTATTATATGTAGTCACTGCTGCACTGTCTACTAACCTGCTTATGTGGTGATGGAGCTGTCTTAGGCAAGACCAGATTTATTTCTTGTTTTAGAGATTTTCTAGACTGGTATCAACATTGTTATTATTTCAAATTTTCATAAAATTAATTTCTTTGACCATTTTCAGTGAATAAGACATTTGTTAGATTATCAACAATTACAAAGAATTGTTTTTCAATGTAATTTTAAAACAAAGATTTGATACAACTTAATGATTAAGAGTTGTTTTTTAGAATGTTTCTTAAATAATGTGTTATATGTTTCATGCTGTCAATTAAAATGGTCTTGAAAACTTGATACAAAACTGATGACATATAAGTACTCTGAAGTACTGTGTAAAATAAACATATTTCATTCATTTTCATTGCTGCAGATTTTATGAAAAGCAAAGAAACAAGAAAGAAATGGGTCTAGCCTAGCTTAATATTAGATGTCTTTTTCCGCTTAAAAATTCACCAGCTCTCACTTTGTACTTTCTCAGGCATTCTAGCAACCTTCATGATAAACAACTGAGTGAGTTTTAAGTATTGTTAAGGAAACATTGGAGATAATTTAGTTATTTTGTATTATTTTTCAAATGGTAATTCAGTAAGAGAAATTATATAGATGTGACAATAAATAAACTTACATCAGTTTTCTTTGAATCACTGATTTGGTTGAAATAGTTGAATAACCAATATCTGAAAATCAAAGTACAAGAAAGATTTAAATGTCTGGTTGTCACGAAGAAAAGAGATGGTGGGGATGACACTGACATTGTGGGTTAAAACGTAAATATCATATTGATGTTAACATGGTTAAAGGGGATAATAATAATAATATCTATAAATGCTGTAGGAATTGGTATATTGCTTGGGTTCCTGCTTCTTTCAGTGGATCAGAGGATTTCTCTTGCTTTGTGTACAATGGTGTACATACGTGTGTGTGTCTGTGTGTGAGATTGGAAGTAACATGCATATAGCTGAAGTAGTTCAAATTTGTTTAAAAAGATTCAGATTATTTATTATATGAACTGAGGCACAAATTATTTACTTGTTTTACGGCACCTGCCAGACAAGTTGTTTCCAAGTTGCAAAAAAATAACACACACGGTCGGCCAAACAGATTGCATGATCATCTCTTGAGTCCATTGCCCCAAATGTTTAACACTGTTAAAGGTGGTAAACATGGACAAAGACTGGTGGACTAAAATAACAAAAAAATATGTTTTTTTGTACATTATGTCAAGTTACTTTAGTCAATTGTGAAAGGTCCTTGAACTTTGTCAAGGAGAATGATTGTCGTAACTGACGATAACTCTGTACATGTGGTAAGCAGCCTTTCACACTATTTTCTTGACAATGCGAACATCGAGATTGTTTGCATGTGTTGGTAACTTTCTATTTGAAATACATGAAAATCAGCATTGTGAAAATGGGATGGTTTGTGAAATTGCATTTGATCAGATGGTGAATGTTCAAAAATAAAAATAAATGTTCAACCAACTTCCCCAGAAATATGTTGATACAGTAAACTACGATTATAAGGAACTCAACCCGACCACTAATTTTAGTTGGTTATAACCATAGTTCGTTACAAGCATATATACAGCATATATACAGCATATATACAGCAAATGGCCAGGACCAAAAAACAGTTATATCCGTCAGTTCGTAGTTTACAAATGTAGTTTCCTGTAATTGAAAACTTTGACTTTCTTGATGATCTGAGTCATAATGGTATAGGCTTTTTAAGAGTTTATTGTGAATTTTTTTTGTCTGCTGAGAATTTGAACAAATTCCTTTATTTTATTGTTCCTACCTGAACACAGATATTTACATACCAATTCTTCCGTAAAACAAATAATTATTTTGACCTCGACTTAGTTATTATTTTGTGATCATGCTTATGTGCTATTTATCAATTTTATGAAAACATTTATGTAAGTAGTGTTTTTAGCCAGGGTAAGTGAACACTAGTACATGAGATTGAGGTTCATGTGATTTTGTGCTTGCTGTGATTGATCATGTTGGTGAGATATTATGTAACGTTTGAATGTGCACCAGGCTGACGACTCATGTCTTATATGTGTTGCTACATGTATAGACTCAGGTTATTTATGGATTTTGTGTAAAACAAGCATGGAAATATGTGCAACACCCAAACAAACTAATTGCTCACATTGCAGTACCTGACAAGGCAGATGTTGGTGCTTGTGAACACAATGACACTCTGGTACATGTGGTATACATGTTTACTTGTTCACATGGACCGTGCCATATTTCCCACATACACCAGCTAGTGTATACATATCTGTGTGCAGCACAGGAGCCAGGTATCACTGTGTCTGATAGCATCTGGCCACACCAGTACTGGCACATACCTGCTGCTACATGTGCCACCGTGTGCTGGCTCATGTAGCCTGCATGTCTGACGCTGCCACACCTCCTGACAGCAGAGCCGGGCTCATAATGCTGATTGCTTGCATCTGTAGAGCATGGTAAAGTACTGGCTCATTATGTACACGTTACATTGCTGTTGTCATACCTTCTGACAGCAGAGCCAGACGCACATCGCTGATTGCTTGTACCTGTACAGTATGTATATGAAGTACTGGCTCATTATGTACACGTTATATTGCTGTTGTCACACCTCCTGACAGCAGAGCCAGAATCCGGATAGAGAATGGTTCTTCATCAACCCATGCTTGTCATAAGAGGCGACAAACTGGATCGGGTGGTCAGGCTCGCTGACTTGGATGATGCAAGTTTGGACGAAGACTTTATGAAGCTAGTACGCAAATAGTCTGAATGCAGGAAGACTTACTCTACACCCAAGTTTGATGCTCGTGATATCAATCACTTGATCTGGTCCAGACTGGTCCGTTAAACAACCAATCAACCAACCAACCAACCAACCTTTAGTAGTAGATGAGGGAAAAAAGTGAGGTTGACGCAATTATGACATCATGGCTTGGGTAGTTATGAAACTACTTGGCGAAAACTAATTGTGTGATTGACATTGAAGAGGACGCCTGTTGAAAATCGAAAAAATTTAGTTAGTGTGATTGAAGCCAAAATACAGGATTTATGGCAGAGATATAATAGAGGTAGTATTCTAAGAATTATTAACAATGATAACTATTGTTCGATATTTGTGACAATATTACAAAATCATCACAATCATTTTTGTTGTTTGGCATTATTTAATTATTAGTCATTGTTTATTCACATATTTCAGCATGAAATTCAGTTTGCTTGTAGCACAATCACTGTTTACAAAATGGGTACCTGTGTTGGTGTAGTTACCTCAGGTAAACATGGTAACTCGGGAAATGATGTACAGCCCACACCAGCCTTTAGCATGTGTTACTTGGTTTGCCCTGGCAATGTCATGATATGAGGCATGTTTGAATGGACACTATCCCCTCTTATTAACTGTCATGCTCATATCCTTGGTATCCAACCTGTAGCTGCATGTTTCATTGTGGATGATGCATGTTCATCATGTTCATATGTCATCTATTTGCTTAATTTTCAACTTCATTTGGTTTATTATTATCTTTAAACAATGACAGTTGATATCATCAGAACAACTATCGACTGGACGGCACATACAATGTTGATTTGGTTTGTTTGGGTTTGTTTGTTGTTTAATGCCGCACTCAGCAATATGCAAGCTATGTGATGGCAGTCTGTAAATAATCGGGTCTGGACCAGACAATCCAGTGATGGATATCATGAGCATCGATCAACGCAGTTGGGATACGATGACATGCATCAACCAAGTCACCGAGCCTGACCAACCAATACCATTAGTCACATCTTACGACAAGCATAGTCACCTTTTACGGCAAGCAAGATTTGCTGAAGACCTATTCTAACCCAGATCTTCATGGCTCACATACAATGTTAGAAATAGAGCTTGCTTGCAAGCTTAACTTTGTCCAGTTCATCAATTATTAGTGCTTGTATTCAGTAGTATTTATGCAGAACATATTTGAATTTCAATGATGTCAGCAACTCTTGTTCTCTATCTGTCTAACTGTTGACTTCATATCCAGGCGAGCTACAATGCCATTGCTCAGTATATACACATTATCAACTTCAAATTTAAAAACGTTGCCAAAAATATTATGATGTAGAATGTATAAATATACCCATACTGTCACAAGAATTGCAAATTCACATTCCCACAAGCGTACGATGAATATACTAACGCAAATACAAGCAAGATGCTATACATATTATAGCTCCTGATCACTTATTACCACTTATAGGTTAATATATAATTGTCGTAAGAGGCTACTAACAGGATCAGGGGGTCAGGCTAGCTGACTTGGTTGATTCCATGTCCTCATATCCACATTGGATCAATGCTCATGTGGAACTGGAAGAAGACTTGTTTTGTGAGATATGAGACTGAGAGTAAAAATCAGTTCGACAAAAATGTGTTCTTTTATGGACAATTATAAGCTGAGCTTGCTAGACTGAACAGAATTTTACTAGACTCGGGCTTTGCACTAGTGGCTAAGGTCGCAGACTGCCGTTCAAATATTAATACTATGATTTTCATTATAACTGACTACTTTGGCATCAGAGGGATAGCCATTGAAAATTAGACAAGGATATATATGATCATGATAATGGCTCTGACATTTATATGGAAGGCACAACATATATTTAGTACACTCATCCACGAACATGATGACACAGATCTATAGCTCAATCCACTTTTGTTCAAATAAAATCAATAATAATGTCCTTTGATTGTTGGCTGTTTCATCATTTGTTATACATTAAAATTCTACTTTTTTGTGCAGACTCCAATCAAATGAAAGGAACACAGAATTGGTTGTCATCAATGTGTTGTGAGAGTTAACTAAGAGGGATCTGGTTGTTAGTCTCTGTGACTTGGCTGGATGCATGTCATTGTGCTTGGAGGGAGCAGACTGTTCCTCATGCTTTCAGTCATGTGTCCAGCCACAGATATATACCGGCATCTGTGGTGCAGCAGGGCCCACTTGCACAAAGAGATCTTAGCGCTAAGACTATTGTAAGCCTATGTTACAGTATGGGAGTTATGATCATCTTAGCGCTAAGATCGCTTTGTGCAAGTGGGCCCTGGACTATTGCTGACTGATGCGTCACACATTCACTCACTACATCTCCATCAGGAGCCCCTAGCCGGAATGTCCTGTGCTGAGTTACATCACTATGCCCATGCTTGTGGGTTTCACTACATTCACAAAATGTCTAAGACCTGCATCGTTTTGGGCTTTGCTCCAACATCAAACTGACACTGTGATAAAACTGAAACCACATTCATTCACTACATCTCTTTTTGACATCCTTAACTACCTCATACATCCCTACCAGTACCAGAGTTCGAAATTATGGATGGAAGTCAGGGGTCCTTGTCATTTGCCTAATGTTAAAAGTTAAGATTCAGGGGGCCGTAGATTCAAATACTATAGACGACCTGAAGGACCCACCTTAATTTCGAACACTGAGTACCATGCCTCAAACATGTCAAATGATCAAGATGATGGATCAGTTCAACCAATTTGAACGAGACTTGTTACTTCACAGAAAGCAGTTAACATGGTTACAGGAAGTCCACATTCTACTTGTTGTGTTGAAGTAAGATATTTCTAAGATGAATCACATCTATAATTCATATTAAGATGCACATGATGTTACGATATCATATTAAACACAATACAAATTCTTGTGCCAATTTTATTTCCTTGTACTTTCAGCATCCTTCTATGGAGAGAGTTACATCCGGGTGCCGTTCCAGGAGGCATCCAAATCCTCTGAGATCAAACTCTACTTCAAGACTCACCGCCCACATGGCTTGCTGCTCCTTGCAGCAGGGACCACAGACTACTTTGCCGTGGAGCTCAGGTCCGGCATTGTCAAGGTCAGGGTCAACCTGGGCTCGGGGGAGGCCACGGTACAGTCCACCCCGGGCCTACGCTTGGACGATCTCCAGTGGCACTTTGTGCACATAAACCGCACTCAAAGCAAAGTGACGCTCAATGTGGACAATGTTGTTTTGAGCACTGTTGAGACCCCAGGATCATACCATGAGCTGAACATTGAACATGGAATATTCCTGGGGGGAATTGGGACTTTCACTGATGTGTACATTGGAAATTTCCCCAACTTCCGCGGGTGCCAAAGAGATGTGTTTTTCAATGGCTATGACATCCTGAGGCAGGCAAGACTTCTTAACAGCCCACTGTATACCTTTGAGATATTCTGGGATTGTGATGATGAGTTTGATGCTGGCTCATACAAGCCTATCAGTTTTAACACAGAGACATCATTTGTGGCATTCCCACATCTGCATATACGAACAGAAGGAACATTTTCATGTGACCTTGTTACAAAGGCTGACAATGCTATTGTGCTGTTCAATTCAGGCAGAAGGTCATCCGCTCAAGACTTCATTGCACTAGAAATATTGAAGGGGAAATTACAATTATCCATCAACAGTGGGAGTGGCATAATATCTGTATCATCTGACATTGTTGTGAATGATGGTCTATGGCATCAGATCGATATGATCCTGACAACAACGACAATGGAGTTGTCTGTCGACGAGGTGAGACAAGAAACGACATTCAACCTTGGTGATAACCAGTACCTAAATCTAGCTGGACATATGTTTGTAGGTGGTCTTGGACTCAAGGCAAGAACACATGCCATAAAAATTGGTCTGGAGTCACTGCAGGGTGACCGAGGAATGAAAGGGTCTATGACTGGATGCATAAAGAACATTGTTGTGAACAAAAGAACTTATGGGTTCAGGGATGTTCAGATATCTCGACTAGTTGATCCTCAGTGTTCAGGACGTTTTCCCTGTGCACCTGAGCCATGTATTGAAGGTGCTAAATGTGTGGAAGTAAACAAGGAAGACTTCCAATGTGTCTGTGATAAGACTGTGTGTACCAAAGAGACACCAGATAAAAACCCTGGAGTTGGTTCCAGCAATGATCCCCGTGAAGTGCTAGCCATTGAGGAACTGAAGGTTCAGGAAGGAGCAGAGGTTGCTATTACCACCAATATTATTGATGTGATATTTGATTATCAGGCCTACAGGCTGAGGGAGTCTGCGATAATGTTCCATGTGAAAGTAGCACCTCAGTATGGACGTATTGATGTCAACTTGCGAAGAAGAAGGAATGGTGGAAAGTTCACACTCCTTGATCTGATTGGTGAAAAAATCTCCTATATTCACGATGGAACTGATACCAGAAGTGATGATGTGACCCTCGAAATGACAATATCCCCAGATAGCCAAAGTGTACCTAAGAAATACAAAGGAACATTTGCTTTTGTTGTGCCAATTAAGATAATACCAAGGAATGACCCGCCAAAGATTATCGTTCCTTCGGGGAATGTTATTCAGGTCATTGAACGTTCAAAATTCCAGATGACAAAATTGGTCCTTGATATAATAGACCCAGATTCTGATCCTTCTAATCTTGAATACTCTGTAACCTATTTGAGGCAGGGAGGTGGTTATTTTGAAAAATCCAATGCAACTGGACAGAAACTGAAAACATTTACTCAAGCTGACATCAACACAGGATTGATATGGTTTGTGCATGAGGGTCAGTCTACTTCTTTCCTACGTCTTAAGGCAAGTGATGAGTCCTCGAACAGCGATGCCGTCGATCTTCGATTTACAGCCGTAGACATGAAGCTTGAAATTACAGCCAATTCTGGCATTTTTGTATTTCATGGGATGTCCAAGCTTATCCTTCCTGAAAACCTTACGACAGTCACCAATGTTCCTTCTCAGCAAATTGAAATTAGATACCGCATATCTCAGCAGCCAAAGTATGGAGAGATTCAAAGACGACAGCATGGTGATGAAGAGTGGACTCCAGTAGAAACCTTCAGCCAGAGACACATTGACAAGAAAAGACTCAGATATTCTCAGACAAATTTCGGCCAATTTCCAACATCAGATAGTTGCATGTTTACAGTCACAGCAAAGGATGTGTCTCTGAGTGACACAGTGTTCCAGATTGTCTTCCAGACTGTGACTCTGAGGCTGCAGAACATTGCCAAGCTGGTTGTTCTGCACTCACCATACACTGTCCTGAAGAATGAACACTTTCTCGCAGTTGCTAATACTGAAATTCCAGCTGATAGAATTTTCATATCTATTATGAGGCCTCCGAGTCAAGGTGGACTGTATATTTTCAGAAACCCTGTCCGAGACGTGACTGAATTTGATCAGAGGAGAGCTCTAACACGCAACTCTAACTTCACCCAACAGCAGATAAATGAGGAAAAAGTCTATTTCAAAGTTTACAAACCATCCTTCAAGAAATTTGAAGATTTCCTAGATTTGAAGATATCATTTGCTGGTGCTGAATCTATTATGACCCGCTTCTTGGTTGAGTACATACCCATGAAAAGTTCAGTCAGATTTACCAACAATGGTTTGAAGAACGTCATAGAAGGTGGTAAAAAGGTAATTGAAAAGGATGATCTTTTTCTTGAAATGGACAGTTATAGAGACTTTCAATTCTCAATCATGACCCCAACAAAACATGGAAGTCTTAAATTGATAGACCCAAGATCTCAAGCTGTGCTTGCCAATGATATCTCCAGGTTCACAACAAAAGATATTCAACAGGGGAAACTGACCTACCAGCACGATGATTCTGAACACAGCGAGGATTCCTTTATGTTCTCAGCTGCTCCAATAATTAACACAGCTGACAAAGCTATGGAAATTCAGGAATTTTCCGGGACGTTCTCAATCCAGATTCGAATGAGGAATGACAACCCTCCTGCTATTCTAATCAACAGAGTGTTCCATATAGTAAAGAACAAGGAACGCCTGCTTACTATAGATGACCTTGAAGCTATAGATCCAGACATTGAATATGATTCTGACAAACTGAAATTCACAAGAAAAGGGATGAGAAATGGGGAAATCCTGGATTCCAGTACTAAAGAACCAGTGTTTGAGTTCTCTCAGGAAGACCTGAAAGAGAAGAAGCTTGTGGTGAAGCACCGAGGAGCTGACAGTGATCAGGCAGCAATTTTTGTTACTGATGGACAATTTGTGAAACCATTCCTGTTTCAAATCCGTGCCTCAGATCCTTACATCAAAATCACCAACAACACCGGCATCAAGGTCCAGAAAGGTAGTTATGCTTCTATGACGACAACAAATCTTAGTGTGGAGACAAATGTTGATGTCACACCTGAAGAAATCAACTTTGTTTTGACAGAAGAACCATCGAATGGTCACTTGAGAATAAGGGGTAAAATGGTCTCTGAGTTTACCTTTGCAGACATCATTGCTGGGAATGTCAGGTACTGGAATGATGGTGGTAATGAAATGGAGGACAAGTTCAAGTTTGCTGTTCTTGCCAAAGAAGCTAGGGTCAATGGAGTTTTCCCTGTCATGGTCTTTCTTGAAAGTCAAATGCATCCTCCCGAGATAGTGCATAACAGATTTCTGGAAGTTCCTGAAGGTTCCAGTGCCACCATCACTAAAGGACATCTTCATGTTGTCCATCCAGCGGCTCTGCCCAAGAACATAGTGTTCACCATTGAAACTCTACCGTCACATGGAGATCTCAAGATTAAGGGTAGAACTGTTCAAAACCTGGCCCAAGCAAGATTTTCACAATCTGATATTGATTCCGGGCTTGTTGCTTATGCCCCGAGAGAAGTAAACTTCTTGACGGATAAAATTGTGTTCGAGGTCACCAATGGTATACAAACATTAAGTAATTTGGAATTCTTTATAGAAATTGTGCCAGCACATCTCCCTCTGATTGCTAAAAACCTTACAGTAATTGAAGGTGCAAGAATAAAACTGACAAACAAAATGATAAGTGTGAAAGGCCGATATTTCATGGGAAAAGATATCAATTTCAAAATTGTAGTTCAACCTTTGCATGGCTGGATTTATTCAAATGACAGGGAAGGGACACATATTGACACCTTTACATCTGCAGACCTTGCCAACAACAAGGTCTTTTATGAACACAACAATGATGAAAGCCTAACAGATTCATTCTCAATGATTGCCCAGATGGCTGACAACAGCAAGAGGAGCCTTCAGCAGACAGTGTACGTGAAAGTGATCCCCATCAATGACAAGCCACCCCGTGTGGTGGTCAACAAGGTCCTGGAGGTGTGGAAGGGCTCAACCACAGTCATAAGCAACCACAGTCTTCTCGCTGAGGATCCAGACTCCTCAGTCTCAGAGATCACGTTCATGGTGTCTGGTGTCTACAGCGGTCATGTGGCTTACATCAACGACTCTTCACTTTCCATTAACGAGTTTACTCAAGAAGAAGTTGATAAGGGTCTCGTAATTTTTGTTGAAACAGGTAAAAATGTTGTTTTTCTTCTCTCCATTTCTCGCGTCAGACAAATTGTTTTGTTAAACTTGAAAGCGAAATATTTGTGTACAGAGTAGGGCTCATCTGACTTCCATGAGTAATAGTTGACCTCATTCTTGGCTACACTGTATGGCGACTGTATGTATTAAAGGTTGAGGAAGGCTGTACACAAACCTGTAAAATATTGAAGATGTGGTTGGCCCCATCATGATTACATGGATAACTGGTAACAATGTTATTACAATTCCTAGCAAGTTAAAAAATGTGCAGACCAGTATTTGTTTTCCTAGTATTATAATATTTATAATCATTTGTATTTATGTTTAGGAAACTATAATTATGAATTTGTCAAAATTTGATGTACTCTCTATATAAATAGTTATAAACAGACACTGAACGCAGCAGTCAAAATATGCCTTTGGAGACAGTGCTTTAAACAAGTATTATACTGTAAATGTTTTAATATTTTGATATGATGACGATGGTTAATGAAATGCGAAATGGTTTCAGTTTCTGTGATGTCCCTTGTCATAATGTCATCCACTTTGGCCTTTATTACCACTACTACTACTACTGCTTTTATTATTATTATTATTATTATTATTGCAGGTGAGGACGATGGTGGATTCAAGTTCCAGGCAACAGATGGTACCAACTTGGCTAGTACTTATCTGTTCCAGATCAGGACAAAACCGCTTATACTCACAATGCAGGTGAAAAATGACCTGAGAGTTTTCCCCAACACCATGCATCCAATTACTGTAGACGTCCTGTATGCTGTCACAAGTGATAAAAACTTCAAGCGCATCATGTTCAGCATAACATCACAGCCACAGAAGGGAGAAATTGTCACTTTGGTCAGTGGCAGGCCTCAAAGAGTGTTATCCTTCAGTCAGGAGGACATTGAAGGGAAGAAAATATTCTACAAGCATGCTGGTTACATCTCTGGTTGGTCCGACTCTGATCAATTCAGGTTTAATGTGTCCACTGCTTATGCTCAGCCTCTTCCTGAAAGAATGAGGGTTGACATTTCTTATGGAAACATCAACACTGGGAATGAGAATACATTATTGAGCATGTCTAGAGCTGTGGTGGATGAGGGTAGGGAAGTGGTACTTAGAAAAGAAAATCTGGACTTGACCGAGTTGGAGATGAGACTGAGACAGTTTGGCAGAGACATCAACGTTGATTACGTCTTGACTAGTTTACCAAGACACGGCATGCTTTATGAAGGTCGGAGGGAGCTACAGATCCTTGAAACTTTCAATCAGTCTGTTGTGAACAGCGGCAGAATAAGATACAAGCATGATGATTCTGATACTACTGAAGATTCCTTTGAGTATGCTGTGAGGATTCAGAAATCACAAGGCTCTGTTAGTCTTGCAGATAGTTTTGTTACCAACTTTACGATAATTGTCAAGCCTATCAATGACCAACCATTTAAATTAGTTACTAGAAATCCACATGTTAGAGTGGTTCAAGGAGCTTCAAACAACATCACAGGAGAAAATCTGAAAACTACTGACCTTGACACACCACCAGATGGCATTGTGTACAATATTGTAACTGGACCTCAAAATGGCAAGCTCATTTTCTGGGACTTCCCCAACATTAAAATCACAACCTTCACACAGGCTGACCTGGACAAGGGAAGGTTGTTGTTCCAACATGATGGCTCCAAACAACCAGGGGCCTTCTATTTTAAGGTTTCTGATGGAAAGTTTTCACCTTATTACAAAATTTTCAATATCCATGTTTTACCACTGAAGATTGAGATTGTTGCAAACAAGCCCGTGGAACTGATTCAGTCACATTCATCTGTTTATGTCACCACCAAGTACTTCAATATCACAACCAATGGCCCTGTGGACAACATTTGGTATGACATTACTAGAGGGCCTGAACATGGCAAAATATACTTTCAGGATAGTGGCACCAAAACATTTTCACAATCAGATTTAGACAAGAATGTCATTCTCTACATCCAGAAGGACATGAAAGCGGGGTCCGATTTTTTCATGTTTGATCTATACACCAAAAATATTGATTTCCGGTTGCGTGATCAGCGAATTGACATCACTGTGATTCCTTTGATTAAACAAGGGCCTTTTGAAGCACCTGCAGGCTCTACAACAGCAATAACTGTGTTCAGTCTTGATGCTAGTGAACTTGCTAACATAACCGGAGGTAACCCAACATTTGATATTTCAGACCCTCCAAAACATGGCAGTATTGTGAAGACAAAGAGCAGAGGAAGGAGAGCCATAAATTCTGATGACTATGGAAAGGTGGATTCGTTTACCCATGAGGATGTCATTTACACAAAAGTGTATTATGTCGCCGACACACCATATGATCCGAATGTCAGAAGCGATAACTTCAGCTACAGCTTACGAGCTACAGGCGTCCAGCCTGCTGGTGGAGTGTTTTCTGTCCAGCTTGAACCCCCTGAACCTGAAGCTGTGACAAAAAGGCCCCTCCGACCTCACTTGACACCGAGGCATGGGGATCGAGATCCAGGTGGAGGTGGTGCAAGGCAACCAGATCTAGACGAGGATCCTTCAACAGATGATAATTCAGACAAAAAGGAGTCTGACCCAACATCTAAGGAAGCTCAGAATCCTAACATAAGCAATGACTACATTATTGTGGCAGTGGTAGTGAGCTTGGTATTACTCATTGTAATTATAGCTGTTGTAATTGTGTTGCTGTTGAGGCGGAAGAGAAGGCGGGATATGGTCCGGGAGGAGACCAAGACTCGACCTAAGCCTCGTCCATATATCAGTGGCCCGCTACAACTGGAGCAGCCCCATGTTCACATTGAGCCTCAAGTGGAATCATCCCCAGGAGGGTATGACCAAGCTGTGACCACAGGACACAATGCTGCTAGTAACATCCCAGTCATTAATGTATCACATGGTGAGGACTTCCCAGACAAACATGTGTCCTCCCCTCCGAGGTCACCCGATCTGAGTCGACAGGAGGTCAGTAAGACTGTGCCTGCATGTAAGGTTACTCCTCTGATTGAGATCCCTGAGTCCACAACAGAGGATGCCAGTGCAGAAGATAGCCTCAAATCTACTACAAGTGGTGAAATGTTTAACTTTGACTGGAACTTGATGGACCCTGACTTGCTTCAACATTGTAGGACAACTACACCAGTATTAAGGAAGAATCAGTATTGGGTGTAATGGTAGAATTCAGATTCAGAATTATGTCAACTAGTCAAAAAAGGATTTATTTGTCATTGGCATTATTAAAGTGATGTCGGAAATAGGAGGATGTTTATTTTGTTGTGAATTATCCAGGATCGGTTTTGGTGATCTCAGACTACTAGTGGACTTGCCCTATTTTGGAACTCTGCAGTGTGCTGTTTTCTTGGGTGGGAGCACTGTAGACTTGACGATCGTGCTGATAGATATATTGTGACTAAAAGCACAAAATATTAGTTTTGTCACCATGGTAACCATGAGGAGGATGATACAGACCTGTTACAGTTTTTTAGATCTGAGTTCGACCATCACAAGGGACTGTTTGTGTGGCAGTTTGTGATGCGCTTCAGCGAGACTTTGTAAGGATCAGAACCGACAAATGAAGATATGAAGATTAATCATGTTAATGCTGGCAGTTTACAATGAAGACTGACTTCTTGAAACTTCTCCACTAGTCTCAGTAACCATAGCAATGTTAGTGTGCCTCCTAGTGATAGGTCTTGTGCACATTTCAACAGTTTTGGGATGCAAAATATTCACATTTTGGAATTGTGAGTTATGTAATCATCATCTATTGTGTAGTGTTCTGATCGAGTACCTGTAACATTGCGGTCTTCTAGTGTGTGTTTTATGCCAGTTGTCAAACTTGCCAATGGTTTGTGTATACATTCCATATGTATCACAGGATTGAATGTTAAAAGAAATATAATTATATATATTAAATAAATACCTGTAATCCTTGCAAGGTAACAATAATAGCCTTCTTTTATGAAGTGCAAGAACAGCGAACAGTTACGAGGACAGTTAAGGCTTAATTCATGATGAACTGTCAGATAAATAATCCTGAAGGTACAAGCCATCTGTAGTGTTCATGCAGACAGTGTGCTTAATTACATTGCTGTTTGTAAAATCTTTGACTCAGATTTTGAGTCTGCACCTTTAGCTACTAGTCTGAAGCCTTTGTCGAATAAGATGCTGTTCGGTTTAGTAAGCTCAGCTAATTTGACACAAAAATCTACAGAAATGATGTTGATGAGAGCAAAGTTTTTGTTAGTTGACACAAATGGTTTTGGAACAGACTGGATTTCTGATGGCAATACTGTGGCAGATAGGTAGATCTGTAGAATGTAGCACTGTTTTCATCAGCTGACAAATCATGGCTAGAATTTGGTGTTAAGTAATTCCTTAGCATAACTGGCATCCACTGACCTGTTGACAGGCAGATAGGTTTGTATTGCTTATATATATATAGAGGTATATCTACTACCGATATTTAATATTATGTTGATGATACACATGTTATATATTTGCAATGTAGTTAAATTTTGTAATGAATGAGAATCCATTGGGACTGTGTCCACACCTTTCTTTTACAAACAGATTAGTGTGAGAAGGTCAAAACAAAATGAAATTTTGTTTATATGAAATAATGGTAGCATTTGTGTGAGGGAGAAGAAAACTAATTTAAATCAGAATGTTTTCAATTCGAGTTTGACTTTCAAAATTGTAAAAGTGAAACCTTGAAAAATGATGAGCATAACGTATGGCATACTGAATTGTAGATCACATACAAGAGGGACATGTTTTTACAAATTCTGCATTTAATTTTCAAATACGTGGTAATGCTCTTTTTATTCTTTTGGATGTTTTATACATGCATTGAATGTTTGTTTTTTCCAAACTTTATATGTTTAAAAAGGATGGCAAGATGTTTTGTGGTCATTGACTTCATGCTACTGTTGATAACCTGACACGCTGCATGAATACTTCTTCATTGGAATGGTAGCAACATTTGCCACATATTCATCTTTTGATGTTTTCAGTGTGCAAGGGTACATTTTGAAACCCAAAAAATCCAAAACCAAGTGACCAACTGTCTCATAAGATTATCCACACACAAAATAGCATATGGCACTCAAAGGATACATACATGGTTAAGCAGACTTGCCATTTACTGACACATCTAGCACTTTGCAATCTTTGTATTCAACATGTATGACAATATATATTATGAATGTTTCCACTTGGTTTGTATTGTTTTTCTTGCTGTGGCTTCATTGTACTATTGCAAGACAGAATCATCCATGAGCTGGATGATTGACGCCAGTATTTTCAAATCTGTGTCATTTTGTTGGGCCAACTGACAGCATAACATTTTCATAAATGTATGTAAGATCTTATGTTCAATGACATAATTTTGCTTTGTATTTGGCAATTGGCAAGTGTGTTATGTGAAACGGAAATACTTTTGTTATTCATTGATGGGAATGAATTGTTTCTTGTTACCATGGTTACCATGTTCAAGGTATTAAGCTGATGTATGTAGGCAGTAGAGAAGCGACTGATGAGGATAGGCCAGACATCACATGACTATCCAAGAAGGATCCAGCCCTGCTAATTCTTGATACCAGCCACACATATAAGCTTGGCCAGGATCCAGCCCTGCTAATGCTTGTGACCTTCTTGATATCTGCCACACATGAGGCTTTGCCAGGATCCAGCCCTGCTAATTCTTCATACCAGCCACTCATGAGGCTTTGCCAGGATTCAGCCCTGCTAATTCTTCATACCAGCCACTCATGAGGCTTTGCCAGGATCCAGCCCTGCTAATGCATTTAGATTTGATTGTAAGTTGGCAAGATGCCACATACAGCTAGGACACAGTCCCTGCTGTAGTTTGTAGATATTTAACATTTACCTGCTAATGTTTACAACACTGTGTTCGGGTCTGTATTTCACTGATATGTCTGGAAGTAGTGACACTTGTAAGCTCGGTCTGCAACAAAAGTCCTGAGTCCGAAACTAGAGTCTAGTAAAATGTATTTCGTTGTTGAAAGATTTGCTGTGTCCAGTCAAAATACTGAGATAAAAATCTACAGAAAATGCCGAAATGCAAGTTCAGGCTAGAAGACTTAAATATTTTTGGTGCAGACTGTGACCTGGTCTTTTACTGTGTACTATTGAGTTCTTGCTTTTAAGTACAATTTAGTTTTACAACATATTGACACCAGTACATCTCATAGGGTAAACCAATGTTTCATTATTTTGTTTACCTAAAATTACATGAAGATCAAGCACCAATAATGGTAACTGGTTCCCAACCTGTCTAAAGAAAAACACTACTTATTGTATACCCTCAACATGAGGCTGAGGATGAATGTCTCCTTGGTCTAAGGCATGATAGAGTTGCTACCCTTAGCTCTGCCAGGAGCCAATGGTTTTGAAATCCAGATTTGCACCAATTATCATTTGGTCTGTGCGCCACACCTGTGTTCATAGCCGTCACCAAAGTGTCAGTTCATCACTAAATGTAGGGTATACATGCAGAGATTTTAAGACTGCTTCAATTTTCATGTCTATACTGTGTCATAGTGCTCTTAATATTTCCTTCAGTATTTTGATATGCTGTGCCAATCAACTGGTTTGCATGGCAAGGTATTACGTAATATGATTTATCTTGTCAAGACGTAAAGTATGTTAATAATATTGGCATATTGTTATCAGAATGGGTTTTTTCATCCCACAACATAATACCATACACTCTTGTTTCTGATCGATAATGCATAACCGTTCAGATATAAATTTACGATTGGAGGATAGCCATTTGAAGAGTTTAACTACCATCTGTTTGTTTTCATATTAAAGAATGCTCCCAGACATTTTAGTCAATGTAAAACACACTGCCTGGTCAATACTTCCCAGTTTTGTACACACTATGTTCACCTATCACTACAATACATAGGTTTAACATGCAGTGTAGTAGTGATGCACGTTTGACTTCAGTCCAGAATTGGAGGCCATGTGTTAATCATGGGAATCGAATAAACCCTATATTGAAGCAATGTGCAGTGTAGATGGCTGCACATGTGTGGCACATGTTGCAGTATGTGCATTGTTATCTTGGCTCCTGCTGACCTCCCTCTTGCTGGAACCAGGGTGTGGCTTGATTCCCTCTTGCTGGAACCAGGGTGTGGCTTGGTTCCCTCTTGCTGGAACCGGGATGTGGCTTGATTCCCTCTTGCTGGAACCAGGGTGTGGCTTGATTCCCTCTTGCTGGAACCGGGATGTGGCTTGATTCCCTCTTGCTGGAACCAGGGTGGGGCTTGATTCCCTCTTGCTGGAACCAGGGTGTGGCTTGATTCCCTCTTGCTGGAACCAGGGTGTGGCTTGATTCCCTCTTGCTGGAACCAGGATGTGGCTTGGTTCCCTCTTGCTGGAACCGGGATGTGGCTTGATTCCCTCTTGCTGGAACCAGGAAGTGGCTTGGTTCCCTCTTGCTGGAACCAGGGTGTGGCTTGATTCCCTCTTGCTGGAACCAGGGTGTGGCTTGATTCCCTCTTGCTGGAACCAGGTTGTGGCTTGGTTCCCTCTTGCTGGAACCGGGATGTGGCTTGATTTCCTCTTGCTGGAACCAGGAAGTGGCTTGGTTCCCTCTTGCTGGAACCAGGAAGTGGCTTGATTCCCTCTTGCTGGAACCAGGATGTGGCTTGATTCCCTCTTACTGGAACCAGGGTGTGGCTTGATTCATTGATTAAAAATTGTGACTACACCACAGTGCAGCTCTATGTATTCACGAATGATGGAGGAACATAGTGTTTTCAAAACCTATGAATTATTGACAATGAAAGCACACAAGGACAAATTATTTCATGCAGGAATATTGAAATAATTATTCGCTTTGTACCAGAAGGAATATAACGCCATGTCCGGAAACAGGTTAGAAGTGATGTTTAGAAGGTTTTAATGTACAGGGCATGAGATGACATGTTTTGTCTGGGTTTTTTTATGCACTTTTTTTTATGAAATCATAAAATTGAAGTGTATTGATTGTAACACAATCTCCATTTTTTTAGAAACAAATGCATTCTTGTGAGCATTGTGATCAAAATGTGCTTGACATCAGTTGAACATTGAGGTCAGTTGTTGAGTGTATGAGGTGAATATATGCCCAAAGTAAATACATACCAAAATTTACCAAAACTGTTAACCAAGGCTTTTTTTTTTGGTAAATGTTTACCCTTAAGTATTTTGTTCATCTTCCTGACATAAGAGGGTTAACTGACTTTAAGGACAAGTTCCCCACTCGCTGAACTAGGCTGGAATTTCTGGACTCGATCGTAGAAGCACCAGCGGCTATCATGAGTTATGGTTGTTCTATGTCCACTGACCAATCATATTCCACCCCTCATGTCACTTGCATTTGCTTCAAACGAAATGGTGGTGCCCAGTCAATATGATCTCATCGATAATAATTATCTTTACAGTAATAAAAAGGGTTTTCAATCACTTGAGCAGCTTGAAAAGATTTGGAAAATATCTGTCAACACCCAGTTGACAGTACACGTGCTCTGCAATTCCTGCAATCGAACAAATTCGGCACGGCATTTGCCATGTTGTTTATGAACCAGATGTCATTTTCGATGTGGGATTTTGATTGAACTATGCATAGACTCTTTAGTCCAGCAAATAGAATACTCAATAATTCCATCCTAGTTCGGCAAGGGTGGAAACTGGGCTTTTAAAGTCACCTACGGTAATTCCATTGCCTCGGGAAGACACATTTCATTTTGTACAAGACACTCTGAACAGGAAGAAAGTGCCTGTTTATGGAAATTAAACAGCCTTTCATAGTAGTACTGCATTCTTAAACAGCCCCATATAGATTCCAAAGTATGCTGATCATAAGTGACTCAATGCATCGGTGGCTAGGTTCTTTGACTTGGTCGATTGCGTGTCATCATACCTGCTGACAAGGATCATTGCTCATAATATCAATCAATTGATTGCCTGGTCCAGACTCAGTTATTTACAGGTATTTATAGTTGGTATATTGCTGAGTGCAGGTTTAAACAACTAATAATCAGGCAAACAAATTCATTTAGTTTGGGTATGAATTAGACTGAAATTTCCTGGTATGAATTTGTTTTGGGCATGAGTTCAATGCATGCCCCATATCTTGTTTGTAGTTATACCCTGCCTTTGAATACTCATCTATTTGTTAACTTTTGTGAACAATTTGTATAGCAAACTAGTTTCATAGTGCTTTTTTAATCATGTTTGTGGTACATGCTGCATTGGATGCACTGGAGGAGATTATTTTGGTGTTGGTTCTGTGAGCAAATCTTAGCATAACATGTTTATGAATTAAACATGGTGAGTTTGAAGGTTTTTGTGCTGCCTTTTTTGCTAATTTGTAAAAAGAATGCAAAGTTGTTGAACTTCTATCCTACTATTGTGGGTTACTTTGAGTGACCATTCATGTACAGAATACCAAAATAATTGGTTTTACACATTGGTGTTTATAGGAACACACACTTTGGTTCTTTTTCTCTTTACATTTCTTATGTAAAAAATCAACTTTTAACGGAGAAACAAAAAATAATTTATCATTAGCTTATTTTTGAACATACACATCGTTTATTGAACAGAATTGTATATTGCATAGGTTTTTTATGGTGTGTGCATAACTTAACTACACCAACAATTTGACTTGTAGATATGAGGTCTGTAATTACTGGATATTGTATGACGTTACCAGTGTCCTGTATTTGTCAAAAGAGCAAGACACTTTAATAGTGCTGACTGCGCTGCTTGAGAACATTGCTTCAAATACATGTTTCAACACCAGCTATATATCAGTGGAGAATAAGATGTTTTTGTTAAATGTGTGTCTGTCCATTGATTAGATCATATCACACAAACTAAAGACCCATTAACAAAATTGTCTTCACTTGGTGTGTGAACTGTGCACATTTGAATGCTATATTTGTTTTCTGTACTTTTAACTGTTTTGACATTGACTAATGTATTGCCTGGTATAGTTTTTCTGTATGACTTCAGTTCTGTGATATGCATGAGCTCAACCATGTGTAAAACATTACTACTAACTACATCTTCTCTCATCCTTCTGCATCATTCTCTGAATTGAGAAAGAAATATTTAATTCCATTATATTCACAAACAGTTAGTGCTCTTTCAGGACATAGGAACAATGCCATACATTTTAGACCACTTGTCGGTGATACCCACAAAACAAGAGTATATTGTTAAACATTATGTCAGTGCCATAAAAAAAATAGTTTTTGTTTTGGCATAATGAATGCATTAACAGTATAGATGTATTGAAGGTTTGATGCAGCATGATGCCTTGTTCCTGGATACAAGGATAGTTCAGTAAAGTTATGTATCGATACCAAACTACATAAGTTTGTGCATATAAGGAGGACAAGTTCAGTGGCGTGAAATTGAATTGTGAAATACTGTTGACAGTATGACCAGGTGCATCCTGTCTGAAGTTTTTCTTAAATGTACGAAGGGACTGATCATTTACTGTTTTCTCTTTTGATTCCTCAGATATGTTTCCCCTGATACGTTTCCTTAACATGACAGATGTGTCCTACAGTGTATCATGTCATGAATGAACCACCAGGGCACCACTGCCAGTTAACGTTTCACCACAAAGTGTATTGTAACAGCACAAATTAACATCTTATTTCTTTTGTTCTTTTGACGAAATAATGAATTCAGGATCATTAATCATAGACATGTTAACATGCCATCTTGGTCTGGATGGAGTTATGTGCACTTACCTAGCACAAAATCCATCAGGAAAATGGGCCAGATTCCTGATGTTGAAGGTGACTCAGATGACTTTTGGCCTCAGAGGTATCCTTAGAGTGTGCATAGTAGTGGATCTCTAAACATTATTACACTATTTCAGAACTTGTTAGAAACATATTTACATATCGGCATGCAATGTAGGTTTGATAGATAGAATTAGCTGGAGCTAGTCTGTAGTTTAAATCCTGATTGTTGATGTCTGAAGATGTCACAAAATGTGTCAAGTATGTATTTTAGCTAATAGCTGGGTATTTGTTGAGAATATTTCTGATATAAATAACTTTATTGTAGTTGCAATATGAGCATAATGTTGGCTCTTTTTTCATACTGCATAATTTCACAAGTGATATTAGCTAACCTCATTTTTGTGTGTGATTTTGAATCAATTATTGCATACTTAGTACAACTTGCATATGATGTACCCCTGGACATGAATAAACCTACTTAATGATAAACAGATGTTTTTCTTTTCTTTTTCCACTAGAAGTCTGTTTAACAGTGTTTGACATTGAGTGTATTTTCCAGCTATAACACAGTGACCTGAAAATAATTAAGTGAGTGAGGTGGGTTTAATGCGACTTTGAACAGTATTCCAGTCTGTCCGCTTGATGTGGGAGGAAAGCCCGAAGTGATGCAGGTCTTTGATGTTTACCACTTTGGTCAAAACCCACACGCATGCATGGAGCTTACAAACCCAGAAACATAATCCAGGGATTCGTACCAGGATCATTGGTTTCTGGCGTGCCCAAGGGATGCAACTCTGAATTTGTATCATGTGTACTGGATGTTGTCAACTCCATATAAAATCACCTGACTTGTTGATGATTGACAGAAAACACAATTGATGATGCTTTTGATTTAAGTTTGAAAGTATCATCATACATACTTTGGTTCAATATAACCCTCACCCTTCTACCCCTGGCACTGTCGTACCAAAGGAACTCAGAAGATTATATGTGGTGTTACCTTGCCTGCTGCTTAGCATTAAGGGGATAAAGCAAGGGCTGTCCAGCAGAGCAGTACAAGCAGCCCCACAAACGTGCATGCACATGGCTATTAATATTAGTTAGTCTTGATCACAACATTAACCCCATTTCACCTCGCCTAATCCAAGGGTAGGTTTGAAGTGAGTAGTCCGTTAAAGTGAGCATGTCTGTTTGCATTTTTTATAGCTTAATGGAAAAAATATCAGCCTTGATCATGTTGGTGATGGGTTTTAAAACTGGTGTTCTTTTTTAACACTGACCCCTTGTATGACAGGAAGAACATCTATACTAGCATTTACTATTTATCAATTTATCGAAAACTGCACTGGCTTCTGGGAGACTCAACATCAGGAGTCTATTCATTTTCTCTCTGTAACCTAGCATTAAGCAGTTAACATGGCCTCCACATCATGACAGTCATTATCAGGATTCGTTCCTTATTAGAAAATTACAAGAGAAATATAATTCTTGCGAATCCTGCACCTCTATTACATCTTTGCCATAATTCCTGTATTTTGGCTTCAGTCACACTAACTAAACTTTTCAGATTTTCAACAGACGTCCTCTTCACTGTCAATCAGACGGTCTCCTCCCATTAGTAAGACAGCCCAGTTGTGAGACATCTTAAAACAACAATGTCATACCTGGTTGCACATGATAATCAGGTAATTAACCCCTATCATGAAAATGGACTTGTCTTATTAAAGACAAAAGAAATGACTCAAGATGCTTGATACCCTCTTTTACATTATTTCATTCAACATTTTTATTCATCCATCCCTTAAATCCATTGTTTTAACATATTCGCCACTTAGAGTTCAGTTAAAGTTAATATCACAGTTCACATCACAGTTCACATCAAGGTTGTCACACTGACATAACCTTAATACATCTTCAGAAGTTTGCCAACAGCATCCAAGAACTGGAGTGGTGTCTTGACACCCTGGGATAGCTGATCCTTCAGTCTGGAAAGTCAATTGTCAATCTCCTTGTACACACGCTTTCTTGCTGGTGGAGCTGCACCTAGGTCTAACTGAGATAGCTTGGTCTTCTCAGATTTCTCAATCTTCTTGATCTCGATGAACCTGTAGAGATTAGGATGACGATGATTCAGTGATGCATTGAGGCGACTGTGGAAACCCCCCAGGTTGTTGTTGGTCCTTGGGCCGTACGCTGGTGATGGTTCCACAGCGAAAGAGGGAATCTGGCTTCATAATCCACCCAGTTTGTGACTATGTAGTCGTTGAATTCGTCAGCATTCGGTACATCGGAAGACTGGTTCATGGAGTCAATCCATGCATCCTGAACCTGTTGAAGAGGCAGCAGAGGCAAGTCAGCAGCTCGTCGGATCCACTGGAAGAAACACCCCGAAACACGCCGACTGAGCTGAAGGAGGGAAATATAGCTGCAGCCTCCGGATCATGTCTCAAGACCTCGTCGTTGTAGAGGGCTGGCATAGGAGTGGTTGGTTCTTCTCTTGCTCTCTTCCTTAAGCTGCCAAGGAACTGGATTCTGCTGGTGTCTTCTGGTGGGTGGTTGTGTACAGCGAAATTTCTAACAAAATTTCCAACTGTTGTACATTTGCCAATGCAGGTCTTAACGGTACATCGCCAATGAGTTTATCTTACTTTGTTCTTGTAGTGGAGATATCCCTGAAAGAGGACCTGGAGAGTACCTCTTTGACTGCTAATGAACTCAACCTGGGGCAAGGGCGTAGGAGGGCGTCTTCTGTCCTACCCTGAGAATTGGAAGCAGATTATGCCCGACTGCTGGATTCTAGACGTTGTGGCTCACGGATACAAACTGCATTTCAAGAAATGTCCACCAGAAGATCGATTGGTCAAGACTATTACAATGATTCAATCCCTATCAAATCAACCCAGCAGGTATCTAAGGTGGTTGATGTCTCTTCAAGGCAACCTAACGTCTCTACAGGATATGACCTTCAGAGTAAGGTTGATGTTACGTCCTCTACAGACATGGATCAACTCACTACGATCCCACACCCTAGAGTTCAAGACTCAGTTACCTCCAAACTTATTACAAGACCTGCATTGGTGGACTAACAGAGCGGCATTCCTCTGACTTCTCCGACGCCGGAACACCATCTATTCACAGACGTGTCAGATTCCGGATGGGGAGCCCATATGGACGATCTCATGGTATAGGGACCTTGGAGCACCGGAGAGAGGATCCTTCATATCAACTGCAAGGAAATGAAGGCCATCTATTACGCCATCCTGGCATGGAAGATACGTCTCTCCAAATCATCCATCCTCATAGCCAGGGACAACACCACAGTAGTGGCATATATCCAGAAACAAGGAGAAACCAGATGCAGTTTTCGGATGATGGACCCACCGGATCGATGCGCTATTGATGGATTGGACGGGTCTATTTGCATACGCAATTCCCACCATAGTCTCTCCTAGAGAAGGTCATCCACAAGGTGGAGGAGACGGATTGCATGATAATCTTGAGAGCACCAATCTGGCCCAGCGGAGCATGGTTCCACAGATTATTTAGTCTATTAATGGAAGAACCTCTACAGTTACCTCTCCGCATTGTTCCACAGATTATTTAGTCTATTAATGGAAGAACCTCTACAGATCTCTCCTCTCCGAGATCTGTTACGACAGCCCAAGTCCAACATTTTTCCACGACAATCTGCCCAGACTACATCAAACTGCCTGGAAGTTATCACGCAAAAGATGCAGACATCCGGATACTCTGAGCTTGCCTCGGAAGCTGTGGCAAGATCATGGAGACCTTCATCCTCCATTATATATTACAACAGAGGGGATAAGTTCGTCAAGTGGAGAAGACAACAAGGGATTATAACTAATACAATATCCATCCCTATGGTTGCGGACTTCCTACTACATCTACGTCAGGACAATAAGTTCGAGGATCCGACACAAGCAGCATCAGAGGATGAATACACCCTTGATTATCCTGTCTATAAGATGTAGGATGGATTAGGAGCACCTTGAGTATCAACTGCCTCCAGGAACCGGAAGTGACATCATAATCACAACCGGAAGTGACGTCAGCACCGGAAATAGTAGTACAAGGTCCATCTAATCAGGAAATGACGTCTTTTGGTAGAGATAGACCATAAGAGACATCATTATCCAATAAAAGGGAAGCGACAAACCGGAAGTGACGTCAGCAAGGGTAACAGTGTCACAAATCCAAATTTAACAAGAAAAGACGTCATTGGGTAGAAATAGACCAGAAATGACATCATTATTACTAACAGGATCCGCAAATATAACGGTAATTCTAGTGAAGGTATGACATATTTGACTGATTTTTGATGCATTCTGATTTTCAAGTCCTCAGGAGGAATTTCAGAGTAAATCATCTCGAGTCAGGATTAGAATCAGTGAATAAATGATTTCCAGAAGAGGATAACTGTCAATTACACAGGGAGTTACCAGAGACTGATCCCCCGGGTCTTATCGAATTATCGAACAATAGTTATCATTGTTAATAATTCTAAGAATACTACCTCTATTACATTAGAAGTACTCCCATCCACCTCCCCAATTCATCTACCTCTAGTCGTTAGATGTTGGAAAGAAGTGAGATTTCCCGCCATTACGCACGTCATAGTTTGGGTTGCTATAGTGCTCTATTGGGAACAGCTAATTGTGTGTAATTGACAGTGAAAAGGACGTCTGTTGAAAATCTGAAAATTTAGTTAGTGTGACTGAAGCCAAAATACAGAATTTATGGCAAAGATGTACTAGAGGTAGTATTCTTAGAATTATTAACAATGATAACTATTGTTCGATATTTATCAATTTATGTAATAGGGTCAGGACTCAGGAAGAGACAATTGCACTGGCTTCCAGGAGACTGTCAACGTCAGGTGTCTTTATTTATTTTCTCCCTTTAACCAAGCATTAAGCAGTTAACATGGCCTCCACATCATGACAGTCATTATCAGGATAGTTCCTTAAAAGAAAATCACCAGAGAAATATATTTGTACAGAATTTGGAAGGAGAGCATGTACAATCTATTTATTCTGTCCCTTTGTGTATGTCATTCAAAGAGTAACATTTTGTTCAACAATTCAACTACAATAAACTTCTGTTTGTAAAAGGATTATTGCAAAGTGTATTGGTTTCTGGGTATCTCAACGAATAGGTGTCCATTCTAACACGATCATCGGTTGACAAATATTTGAAAGAGACTTTATGTGATGGTGATTAACACCCCTCACAGTTTACTACACAATGTATATTTATCTAGACTAAGGGTGTTTCTATGTCATGAGGACAATTTGAGGAACCTCAACAGAGAGAAATTTAAGTAAAACTTATAATATCTATATAAGGCTCTTTGTATATTACTTGGTCTGCAGCAGATCTGTTATAATACCAGCAGCTGTGGGTACCACATGAATACATTACCATAGCTCTTGAATACATTATCTTAATGGTAACGGGATAGTATCATACAGTGCATTCTTCAATCTTTCCGGGACCGCCTGACATACACTCAGTGGTACGTACATACAGCAAGAGAGGTATATCAGTGAAATCAGTCATTAGGTCGCTTGTCTTGAAGTGAGGATAACATGATGTTTTGGCCCTCGACTTCAAAATTTTCGCTTGAAATAGATTTCCTGCTGCGTCACAATTGTAGTAAAATCAGCACCAAACCTTCCAACATTATTATTGGTTTGCTTGCACTAAGTTCGCAAAGCAGGTGATGTACATCCATGCTGGTGCCGGAGAGTTGATGGATGGGTGACCGCCTTCAGAAAGTATGACTTGAGTTTCTAGGGATTCGGTCCTGCCCCACATGTATCACAGGTTATAAAACGTGGTGTCCTTAGAGGCAGGTGACGGTTTTTTAACTATGCCTATGTTCATCCAGCAGCGAATCGGTATCGGTAAATGTGAGGGTTTATGAATGCAAAACCTTATAGCGCCCCCAAATCAGCGCGGGTTGCTGCAGAATGTAAGTTGAGTGCACACTAATCCATTGGCCAGGGTGGTAATTGTGTATAGCGCCATGAGCAGCTCTAGGACGATATCAACCAGCTTCTCATTTTTTTTAAAGGAGAGGTGAAATTGGGATCAAACGTCGCGTCCAAGATTATTGCAATTACATAGCGACGTGCATGCACGTGTGTGTGTGTGTATGTGGCTGCTTGTACTAGTCCGGACTGATGCCGATTTATAGTGCTATAGCTCACTGAGATACCATGCCGCAGTTTAACATGAATATCCCACACAGTATACTGACTCCGAGCCGACCAGTCCTTGTCTTAGCCCCTTTAAGCCGAGCGCCAGACAGGGTAACAACAAGTACCATCTTTTAACGTCTTTTTGTATGACCCGGCCGGAGATCGAACCCCGGACCTTCCCCTCTCCGGACGGACGCTCTACCACTAGACCGCGGGGGCGGTCCTTTCATAAGTCTTTATATGCATTTAGAAGCTAGAAGTAAACATGACAATGAATATTATTAATTGCCAAACGGTCTTGGCCAAGTTTTTATTCAGCCCCATGTATGCTTAGGGGAGCGATTTTCTCTATCCCAGAGTTTGGAAGAAAAATCCATCTCTAAAGTGAGAGAGTGAGTTGGGTTAAACGCCGCTAAACAATCTTTCAGTTACGGCTGGTCAGATTAATGTGGGAGAGATGTTTACCACTTTAATCAAACCAACGAGCTCGGGTATGGCGCTGAGAAATCAAGAAACACTTTGGGGTGAACTGGGATTCGAACCCACGATCCAAAGGACCCAACTCAACACTGGGAATTGCGGTGCCTTAGACGAAAGGGCCACCCTTGTCCCCTACATATTAGAGTGAGTTGGGTACAATGCCGTTTTTTCACATATTTTCATCTCTTTCTAGAATGTGTCTTTCAGCAAAACAGCAATATCACATTGTTACATTTTATTGTTTGAGGAAAACATAAAGAGAAGCCATAGACATTTACTACGTTTAATTGGTGTAGGTTCCACTGATTTGTTTGTTGCTGTTTATATTCAAATAGCAATATTCCAGCAATATAATTACGGCATGTGACGCAATTGAAACTGAAGTGAGTGAGTATGGTTAAACGCCGCTTTTAGCAATATTCCAACAATAGCACGGCAGGGGACACCAGAAATGGGCTTCACACATTGTACCCATGTCGGGAATCGAACCCGGGTCTTCAGCGTGATGAGCGACCGCTTTTACCATTAGACTACACGAGCGGCCCGATTCTGGACCAGAACAACCAGTGGTTGATGTTATGAACAAGCCATGCCGTTGGGTACAATAACACTCAATCAACATATTCACCCAGCGTCTCCACCCGATTAATTTTGTTGCCTCGTAGGAAAAGCACAGGTTACTGGGGACCAGTTTTTACCCTGTGCCATGTACCCCAATGATGTGAACTCCACAAATGTCATTTTTGTTGTATACATATAGATCTATTTCAGAAAAAACACACCAAAAAAACAATAACAAAAACAAAAAACAAAACATAATTTGTAACAGAGCTAGAATAATTCTTCACATTGAGTTTATACTTTTCAAAAGCATGTTAAATTTGACAAAATGCTTGCTTTTACGTTTGAGTGTCAAGTCAATGAACAAAATGTAACATGAAACTCTTCACATAGAATGCAGAACAACGTTTCACTGTGAGGAGTTTCAAGTTGCCTTCACCTTCACCCTTGTGACCCCTGACCTCCAAGCATGGCGGCGGATGGCAGACTGTTTCTTGGAGTTGACTTCAGCACTCAGCAGGTGCGTATGCCACAGTTATCATTTCAAATCAGGTTTGGATTTAATGTAGAAATGCCTTATAAACGCAGTTGTGAAAGCGAATGTGTCTTGCCAAGCTTGTCACGTATTTGCGACAAGTTCTGTATCTTATCTGCACGAGCTCAGTCGTAAGTAGGTGACGGGCCTCCCAGTTCTGTCATCAGCTGTCCGGTAAATGATACCTGATAGTAACCTCGACATGTTTGTTTGACCGATTTTCTATTTCAACTGCTTTGGTTAACTTATGTTGGCAACATTGAAACACACCTATACTGCATTTTTTATAAAGCTTTCCATAGAATAATGTTGCATTTTCGAACTTGATTGAGATACCCACGATACTTTTAGTTTTAGGCCTACGTGATTGTTTAACATAAAAATAAAATTTTATATTTAAAGTGGGTAACATTTGTAATGTATTTTGGGAGCAATGGGAATGTCATTTAATAGATGTATATAGTATTAATGCCCCAAACAGATGGATGGACTGTCGTCATGTGATTCATAGGTGGAGATATACATGTCATGATGTAATCCCCCTCACACGTTTTCGAGCCTCACCTATTAGGCCTATCGATCCCCTTAACAATGACCGTGAGCTTAGTGACATATACAAAATACTTGCCTCAAAACCCACTGAATACATCAAAGTGTTCGCCCCTTGCCGCTGAAGTAATGTTGCAAATTAAGTTCCATGGGGAAAGATATTCAAAAAGTAATGATCAAAAACATACCACAAAACCCAAAAATCTTTGCACATTTTAATCAGACTTGATCTGATGATCATTTTTCGTCTGAACAACTGGATGCACCAACAATGTATCGGTTACTGTCTGTATAAATGCCATGTGACTGTCCATGGTGTGCACCTATTTTTAACTTGACTTTAATAGAGGGGCTATTTTCTTGAAAATGCTCACAATCCTTGAAACACTACTGTGAAAATAAACATTGTAAAATTGAAATTCACATTTTTGCCAGGTTAAGACTATTGCAATCAACGACAGCCTAGATGTTACCAATGAATACAATGTCAAGTTCGACACGGAACTACCAGAATACAAGTAAGTCTCACTTGTTGCAGGCTTGTAATGTTTTTGAATGTAAAAATAGTGATACAGTGTTCCTCAATACACAAAATAGAAATATTGGGACAAATATTACACTATACTGTAAATATTTGCCATGCTTATATTTCCAATTGGTTTGTTGATGTGGATTGAGGGTTGTGTTTGATTGTATGAAACGTCATTTGCATATTACTTGGATAAACTATTTGGAAACAGGAATTTCTCCTGCAAACAGAGCCACACAATTTCAGAATGGAACATACACTTTTGAAAGTTCACCTGACATAAATCTTTTTAGTACTTTTTAATAATAGTCTTAATTTTTTTTGATAATATTATTGTTAATTATTTGTGTTTCCTACAGGACACATGGTGGAGCCAACATCCATGAAGACCATGTGACTGTCACTGCTCCCACAGCCATGTGGGTAAAGGTAGATCACAGAGAGAGTTGTCTCCCATCATCTGTTGCCACTTCCCATATGATGGTAACAGACTGAAACACAATCAAAATGTGTTATCAACTCGAAATGACAAGATGTCTTTTTGTGCTCAAGTCTGTCAACACATCAAATGAGATTCTAATCTAAATGACAACATGGTTGTGTTTGATTATCTCATGTCTAAATGCACAGAACAACTTAATTTGATTTTTGTGGCCATATTACAAAAATTCAAATATGAATTTTCAAAGTGGGTCAGTATATTTTTTTGTCTTTTCAGTTGGCATGGTTATGTAATCACTTGAATCAGTGAATAGATTATAATACTTGAGTTGCAAGAAAAATGTTGCTTGAATAGATTGAACCAATTCAACTTACAGTATTCAGAATTCATAGATATGTTTTTTCTATACTTTTTATCTGGTCTGTCCGTCTGTCGGTCTGTATTTCGTTTACGGAGATAACTTGAAAACCGTGAAAGATTGTTCATACAAAGTTCATGTGATACTTGGCACATGTATGAACCAGGGGCTGTAGTGGTGCCTGGTGCTATTGTGGGGGCCGGGGGGATTTGTCATCTTCTGACGACTCTTGTTTGAGACAGCAATAATAGATTTTGAAACACATTGAATGATTATGACACCTTCTTCTTGACCGAAAAATATCTTTTGGATATAAATGTTAAGAAATTCCGAACAGCACTATCCCGTTTCAGATGTAGTTCTCATGACCTTCTAATAGAAAAAGGTAGACATTTAGCGATACCAAGGGAAAACAGATTGTGTAAATATTGTACTTGCCAAGAGATAGAAGATGAATACCATTTTTTGCTAGTCTGTCCATTGTATGCAAATATCAGAAAAGAATACATACATAAATATTTTTATCTGAATCCTAGAATAGACAAATTTTATATCCTCATGTCATCCCAAAATGAAACAGTCACAAAATATCTTTCAATGTATATATATCATGCAATGAACATCAGATCCTCTGCACTATAGATGTGATATTTTGTTACGATATATGTAATTCCTATTGCACCCATTGCTACTGTATGTATATATGTACTATAGCCCTATGGCCTTTTCAGTACTTGAAATAAAGATTGATTGACACCTTCTTCTTGCAGTGAACACATCAATATTTACATATTAAGTTGTTAGGAAATGCATTTTTCACAGCAGTATCTGGTGGCCCTGGGTTATCTTCCATCCTTGATTATCCAGAGTATTATATCTCCTTTCTGTGTTGATAAATTCCCTGGACCCAGTCACCACGACACCTTAACTTAGAGCCCTATTGGAATTGCATGACTGAAAATATCCCTCAAATGACTCACATGAACGAGACATTCTGTGCTGAGCTGAAATTAGGAGTGATGGAGGTGGTGATGTAACTTCTAAATGGGTCTGAGGTAATAATATTAATAGAATGGTGATATAATGCCCTGGATAAACGAGGATGGCTTTCCTCCAATGTAACATGCATTGTCAGTCTTCAACTTTAGCCACGAGTCTGAAACCTTGGTCAATTAAATCCATTTAACCACTGGTCTGAAGACCTGTCCTGTTAAATTACTTTTGGTCTAAACGCAGTTGTAATAAAAGTCTGTATTTCAACATTTTAATCTGCTGGAAAGTATCTTGTGAAGTGAAGTTGGGGCTAGGCAGAGACCACATACCGATATACCGGTAAAGTCTCTGGGTTGGACGAGGTTTTGCCACAGTCTTCCTTATTATGCCTTGATGAACCTGAACTACTTTGCATTAGCATGACCAACACACTGACTGTAGATCCATGTCTGACCCAGGCCCTGGATCTTCTGCTGGACAAGATGAAGGCCGACAACTTCCCCTTCTCTAGAGTGGCGGCTCTCTCTGGGACAGGACAGGTAAAACTGATGAAGTTACAAGCAACAAGTGATGTTTTATAACAGTAATTTTTCCTACCCTCAAATGTTTGGCTCTCATTTAGCTAAATAAAATAATAGTTTTGGTGCTCAGGCACCGCCTAAATCATCATAAAGTCTGCCATACTTTTCGTTTTTATTTCCATTTTAAAATTTAAAAAAAAATCCTAATACTTAAAAACGATGCTATCCACTAAACAGTTACTTCCCTTTACACGCGCACTGCTTTACTGCGCATCTCATGTTATGGTGATGGCGGCAATAGGAGCTTGTATGCTTGTTAATGTAGGGAGGCCCCTTCCCAGGATGGTACACAACTGTTTATTTGGTTACATACTAGTTAAAACAAAAACAAAAATCCACGGCCCGACCGCCCTATATTTTCAAAAGTCATTGCCTGAGAACCAATTCTTTTATTTTTTTAAGCCTGACATGATTAAACTGCTCTGCGACTTTCCAAATTAACTGGTTTATGGTGCTCACAATATGTATACATCAATAAGATAACAGTAGTTACTGTCAGCACAAATTTTTGCGGTCTATAGTGTTGTCTTTCGTTTACTATTGTCTCGTGTCCAGGGGTGGTGGGGTAGCCAAGTGGTTAAAGGGTTGCTCGTCAGCCGAAGACCCAGGTTCGATTCCCGACATGGGTACAATGTGTGAAGCCAATTCCTGGTGTCCCCCTGTCGTGATATTGCTGGAATATTGTTAAAATATTGCTTAAAACCATACTCACTCACTCACTCACTCACTCACTCACTCACTCACTCACTCACTCACTCACTCACTCACTCACTCACTCACTCACTCACTCACTCACTCACTCACTCACTCACTCACTCACTCACTCACTCACTCACTCACTCACTCACTCACTCACTCACTCACTCACTCACTCACTCACTCACTCACTCACTCACTCACTCACTCACTCACTCACTCACTCACTCACTCACTCACTCACTCACTCACTCACTCACTCACTCACTCACTCACTCACTCACTCACTCACTCACTCACTCACTCACTCACTCACTCACTCACTCACTCACTCACTCACTCACTCACTCACTCACTCACTCACTCACTCACTCACTCACTCACTCACTCACTCACTCACTCACTCACTCACTCACTCACTCACTCACTCACTCACTCACTCACTCACTCACTTTTTCTCCTGTGCATGCAGCAACATGGCAGTGTGTACTGGAGGAAGGGAGCCCGGGACATCCTCTCCAGTCTGGATGCCAGCAAGTCCTTCAGTGATCAGCTTCAGGTATGTCATGGAAGCAGGGGTTCTAGATCTACTGCGTGATCTTGGTGTTTGACTGTCAGGCGAGTTTTGAAACAGGGTGGACCATGGCATTACACAATTCACATGGAACTAAAATGCAGGGTCTGCATACAGTTGTTCAAAGCACATCAAAATTCACTTTTCTCATTGTAGTGCAGTTTTTGCCTGAATTAAACAAAACAGCTACTAGATATTCTATTTTACTAATCATGCTTATTGTGATAAGAAAAGAAATATGAGTTGAATCCAAGGTTTAACACCGATGGTCTTAAAATACAACACACAAGTAAGTAGCTTTCAATAAAAGGGAGATTTGACAGCTCACCTGGCCAAGGAAAGGTATCATGTGTTTCTGGTGACCTTTTCAGTTAAAAATACAGGTACATTCTTCCACCAGTTCCAATTTCCAAGCATTTATCTGCTGAATAGAAACCGTTAACCAGCCACCTTTAGGCCAACAGGAGAAAGATGATAGCTTTGAAATTCCGCCATTTTTTATGCATGTACGATATTCAAGAGGACATTCGTCGTGAAGATCTGGGGTAGAATCGATCTTCAGCAACCCATACTTGCCATAAAAGGCGACTATGCTTGTCGTAAGAGGCAACTAACGGGAACAGGTGGTCAGACTCGCTGACTTGGTTGATGCATGTCATCGATCCCGATTGCGTGGATCGATGCTCATGATGTCAAACACTGGATTGTCTGGTCCAGACTCAATTATAAACAGACTGCCGTCATATAGCTGGAATATTGCTGAGTGTGGCGTTAAACAACAAACGAACGAAGTATTTGTCTATGGCAACAAACCAATGGTATTCAGTTCGAGCCACCTAGTTCTTAATGGATAAATGACGACAGTGAGTTGTATTAGTTTCATCACACCTTTGAAGGCTCTTACTGCTGTGTAGGTATTGATGTTGTCAGAAGAGATGTGTGTTTTACTGTTGCAGGACAGCTACAGTATCAGGGATTCTCCCATCTGGATGGATGCCAGCACGACAAAACAGTGTCGGGACCTGGAGGAGAAGGTTGGAGGACCACAGGTATAGTGTCATTTACCACAGGAATAATGTAGCAGCCACAGGTATGGTGTCATTTACCACAGGAATAATGTAGCAGCCACAGGTATAGTGTCATTTACCACAGGAATAATGTAGCAGCCACAGGTATAGTGTCATTTACCACAGGAATAATGTAGCAGCCACAGGTATAGTGTCATTTACCACAGGAATAATGTAGCAGCCACAGGTATGGTGTCATTTACCACAGGAATAATGTAGCAGCCACAGGTATGGTGTCATTTACCACAGGAATAATGTAGCAGCCACATGTATAGTGTCATTTACCACAGGAATAATGGAGCAGCCACAGGTATGGTGTCATTTACCACAGGAATAATGTAGCAGCCACAGGTATGGTGTCATTTACCACAGGAATAATGTAGCAGCCACAGGTATGGTGTCATTTACCACAGGAATAATGTAGCAGCCACATGTATAGTGTCATTTACCACAGGAATAATGTAGCAGCCACAGGTATAGTATCATTTACACCAGGAATAATGTAGCAGCCACAGGTATAGTATCATTTACACCAGGAATAATGGAGCAGCCACAGGTATAGTGTCGTTTACACCAGGAATAATGGAGCAGCCACAGGTATGGTGTCATTTACCACAGGAATAATGTAGCAGCCACAGGTATGGTGTCATTTACCACAGGAATAATGTAGCAGCCACAGGTATGGTGTCATTTACCACAGGAATAATGTAGCAGCCACAGGTATTGTGTCATTTACCACAGGAATAATGTAGCAGCCACAGGTATAGTATCATTTACACCAGGAATAATGGAGCAGCCACAGGTATAGTATCATTTACACCAGGAATAATGGAGCAGCCACAGGTATAGTGTCGTTTACACCAGGAATAATGGAGCAGCCGTAGGTATAGTGTCATTTACACCAGGAATAATGGAGCAGCCACAGGTATAGCGTCGTTTACACCAGGAATAATTGAGCAGCCACAGGTATGTTGTCATTTACACCAGGAATAATGAAGCAGCCACAAGTATGGTGTCATTTACACCAGGAATAATGGAGCAGCCACTGGTATAGTGTCATTTACACCAGGAATAATGGAGCAGCCACAGGTATAGTGTCATTTACACCGGGAATAATGAAGCAGCCACAGATATGGTGTCATTTACACCAGGAATAATGAAGCAGCCACAGGTATGGTGTCATTTACACCAGGAATAATGTAGCAGCCACAGGTATAGTGTCATTTACACCAGGAATAATGGAGCAGCCACAGGTATGTTGTCATTTACACCAGGAATAATGGAGCAGCCACAGGTATAGTGTCATTTACACCAGGAGTAATGGAGCAGCCACAGGTATAGTGTCATTTACACCGGGAATAATGGAGCAGCCGTAGGTATAGTGTCATTTACCGCTGGAATAATGGAGCAGCCACAGGTATAGTGTCATTTACACCAGGAGTAATGGAGCAGCCACAGGTATAGTGTCATTTACACCGGGAATAATTGAGCAGCCACAGGTATAGTGTCATTTACCGCTGGAATAATGGACACAGTGATGTGCAGACTGCACATTATGATGTGCTGGGCATATCACTGCAACTCCCATGTAATTGAACCAGGTTGCTGCTGTACAAAGCGGTTTTAGCGCTAAGGTGATCGTAACTCCCATACCTTAATATAGACTTCCAACTGTTGTAGCGCCAAGGTTGTTTCGTACAATGGCACCCTGGTCTAGGCACACAGAAGTCAATAGTGTGGATCACTTGCTGGTGGTATCAGCAGACATTGTTTCCACCTAATCTCCATTTTAGTTGCCTCCTAGGTCACGCTGGAAGGGGCCAAGGTCACTTTGACATGAAATCCACATATCAAGGGAGACAACTCTTTGAAAGTAATTTGTTCTGGTAGAGAGATTTGCGCCTTGAACCATGCTGTTGGCCTTGTTAGCATCCTTTCTTTTAACTTTATTAGCCTTTGTTGTTTGGATTATTCTTTAAGTTCCTTGACGTAAATAGATTAACACATTGGCCAAACAGAATATCAATACTACTCTCAAGTTCTCATGGCTATATGGCTTGTGCATGAAGGAGGGGACATTAAGTGTTGTAGTTATTTAGATGCAGTGAGTCATGTTTTCCTACAGTTGGTGTACCACCTCCGTGGTCTAGTGGTAGAGTGTCCGCCCGGAGAGCGGAAGGTCAGGGACTCGATCCTCAGCTGCGTCAGACCAAAAGACATTAAAAGATGATACTTGTTGTTACCCTGCCTGGAATTGGGCATTAAGGGGCTAAAACATGGTCTGGTCAGCTTTGAGTCGGTATACTGTGTCTGAGTGGGGTATTCATGTTCAACTGCGGCGTGATATCTCAGTGGGCTAGCACTATCAAATCGGCATTAGTCCAGATTAGTACAAGCAGACACACACACACATTGCTACTTAAGTGCAGTGATCTTGGATGCGACGTTAAACCCCATTTCACCTCAGCATAATGTTTCCCATTGTGAGGTGTTTCAATTTGAAATATTTTCGAGACTTTTCCTGAGTGACATTGCTTTGACTTATTCAAATTTTCCTCCAGAGTTTGACGGACATTACGGGATCCCGAGGATATGAGAGACTGACGGGAAATCAGATTGCGAAGCAGTATCAGACACAACGAGCTGCATATGACAACACAGAGGTATGCAGTGCCGGTGACACTGAGAACAACAGCTGACAGCTTCACTTTCAGATATTGCTTCACCTGGTAACAAAAATGTTAATTTAAGATATGGATTTACAAATTACATCTGTACTTACGGGACCTGATTCAGGTTTTTAAAAAAAGGTTTGTTTAGGCTTAAAAAAATAAAAGAATTAGTTCTCAGGGAATGACTTTTGAAAATATAGTGCGGGTGGATGGTGATTTGTTTTTGCTTGTTCAAACTAGTATGTAACAAAATAAATGGTGTACCATTAACCTGGGAAAGGGCCTCCCTACATAAACAAGCACACAAATCCTATTGCCGCCATTACCACAACACAACATGCTCAGTAAAGCAGTGTGTATGTAAGGGTAGTAACTCCTTGCTATATTGGATCACATTGTTTTTAAGTATTAGCATTTTTTATTTTTTTTAAATGGAAATAAAAATGAAAAGGGGTACGTCTAAGACCTGCATCACTTCAGACTTTCCTCCCATATTAAGCTGAAACGCTGTCATAGGTGTGTACAGGTGTGAAAACCAAATGTAGTATGTTGAACGCAGTAAACTTTACTGAGAGAGGTTTTTGATAGTTTGGACCCCTCCCTTTTAAAAATGCTTGATCCGCCCTTGGCTGTGATATTACTAGAATAGTGTTCAAAGCGGTGTTAAAACCCAACTCACTCACTACTAATATATGTAATGATAAAAGCTAAGTGCATTGAAATGCTTGCCTTGCTGTTTCACATGATGAAAAATAATTTATGCAAGCATGAACTTAAAGCGAAAAGTGCAAGTGTCCCTGTCTTGCATTAATAAAGTGACACACTTTTGTCTGGACATATTGTAGCACATTGTTATGTCAGGGATCACTGCAAGGGTAGAAATAATGACTCACATAAAGTTTGCAAATAACATGTAATTGAATGCAAGATCCTTCTCCCCAAGTTCCGCGTCAAGTGTGTTCAGTTTGTTTTTATAAATTGATCAACAGTTTTGACAGCACATTTGTTCTTGGAAAACTTGTCAAATAATTTTATAATTGCAAGCAGAACACTGCTCACCCACCCAGTGAAGATGTCCAGTACAGCAACAGCAGTCATGGTGAATGCTGTAAATCTTGAAATTAATGCGAGCATGAATAAAATGCGAAAAATGCGAGTGGTCTTTGCTCGTATTATTAAACATCGCATTTATATCAACAATAAGGCATTTTGGACAGCAGAAATACCAACTTAGACATACGCTGTTTGTTGACACGTGCTTTCTCCGCACTTTCTTCCTTTGAATTTCCTTAATGCCAGTCAACAGAATAAACACAAACAGTATCTGTTGTTCTTAGGACACACTATGTATTGTTTTAGCGGAAGTACTCTACTCAGCGCCGATAAGCGGTGCTATTTGGTGTGTGATTGGATTAATGTAAGTTTGGATTAAGGTGAGGATTCTCCTGTAAACCTGACAGAAGACATTTTCTTTATATATAAATCCACTGATGCTTGAGAAGAGGGGGGTGTCGCATTCATATTGAGTCGCATTTTTGGGTAGGGGCCAGCGGTCGCATTCTTTGGGAGACGCATTGATTTCCCGATTTACAGTACATAACACTGATCATTTGTATTCAAAGGATTGCGATAACTTGTGTAAACAGATCTATCGCATTCATTATTTGGAATTTCCTGCTTTTGATTGCTAGTCAAGTAGTTGAAGTTAAGTTTGTGAAGACAGCAACATTTTTTTCAATCAAACTATTATCACCCTGTACTGTATCATTGAATTCAAAGTCTACAGTCTTTGTGTGATCGTTTACTGGTTACCTTTTCTTGTTCAAAGGCAGCTAAGTTTGCATTAATTTCATGATGCAATTTTGGCCATGTGTCGACACTTGCATTTTTTTGGGTGGTGCCTTTATTTCATGATTTACAGTGTTTCTCAGATTGGCACCAATGAATAGGGAATCATGTTTCTCATAACATGAACAGTCATAAGTGCTTGTTTGTCACTTTACCATATTGGCAGACAAGAAATTATGTGCAGGAATTTTCCATTCCAGCGCATTTCACTCGTGAGCAGTTTTGCAGCGTGTTTGTTTATTGGGAACTATGCCCCGATTGACGACAGCGATGGGTCAGGAATGAACTTGATGGACATTCGGACAAGGAAGTGGTCACCACAGTGTCTTGATGTGAGATGTAGGGATGTATCAGTACATATCTATATACCACCCTTAAATATAGGAGGTGGCACAGTGGTGGAAGTCACAGTCATGTAGTTATGTTCGCCAAGTTTGTGGGCAGTCTCATTAAAATCAGATCTGGTACACTGATATGATGCCTTCATTGGAAGTTATGTCAGATGAACCCTAAGCAATCTTTTACCACCCAATATAAATGAAGTGTTGGTAAACTTTTTTTTCGAGTTTCCAATAGCAACGACTTTGACTAAAACTGAAAATGGCGGTTGTGCTCATTTCCATAGCAGATCTTGAAAACCGTCATATTCGTTGGGATATGAATATTTCATGCTTGTTTATTTACATTTGGAACCTGACGTATTGGTTCATTTTTGTGCTATATTTTACTGAGTGCCTCTACCCTGATTGGCTGAGAATAAAGTTCACCTGCTGCGACCTATGGAGGGTTTGTCAGATGTTTTGTATCAGATCTGATGTTAATTGCATTGTGTTCCCGGGTTCATATGATCTGATGTACCCTGATTATGTTCACTTGTCTTAGAGTAACATCCATGCTTTGTAGTTTCATGCAAGTGATAAATACTACAACCTGCATCACTTCAGGCTCCCTCCCACATGAAGCTGACACACAGTCAAGTAACTGGAATACTTGTAAAAAGAGCAATTCACTCAACCAACCAGTTTTCAAAATTATAATTTCTTGAAGTACTACAATTACAACAAACATGTGTCATATCTAAACATATTTAATATTTAGAATTCAGGAACATCATTTTCATGATTTTTTATAACTTATATTTTAAACAGGCCTGTGCTCCGGACCTTGATCAGCTCTTGGGCCCAATTGTACCTTCTGCTCAACTTGTTGTAAGTACCTTGCGTGACATCTCATGTCCTCATTTCCCTTGGGCACGCCAGAAACCTATGATTGTGGGTTCGAATCCCAGTTCGCTCCGATTATGTTTCTAGGTTTGTCAGCACCATACCCGTGCTCGTGGGTTTCACCAAAGTGGTAAATGTCTAAGACCTGCATCACTTCGGGCTTTCCTCCCACATTAAGCTGACACGCCGTGATATAACTGGAATACTGTTAAAAGCGGCGTTAAATCCAACTCACTCACAAGACTCACTCGTTCATATCCTCATATGTGTTGGATGTCATTTAAACTGAAGTGTGATAACTGAGACTGCTAATTTCTCCCAAGGTTTGGGTAAAGTCAGGGAAATTCAAGGATGACTGTCTTGATGAACATTGGAAATGCAAGTCTCCTTATTTTTAGAAATCTTAAACAAGTTTAACATGATGAAAATTACTCACATTACTTCTTTAGCCAATGTTCAGTCGGACCTACAATATTTCTGTGGTATTATTCCTTTTGGTTACATGAATTGCTTCTAGTTTGTCAAACTTTGTTAGCCATATATAGCTACCTACAATACCTATAACAAGTTTTTGAGACCTAGAATCAGTGGAAAAAATGTTGATGTTTTTCAATGTACATTCGAAGGAACTTAGATACCGACTACAAACAAATGCATACAAGTTGGGTTTTTTGTTGGTGAAAAATATCATGGCCAGTTGTAGGGATGTAGCATTTTCAACCTATTACCCAGGTGTCGTCTCTTTCTTAATGATAACTTATAGAGGGATATTGAAGGTTTTTGAGCTCAGTCGGTAATATTAGCTACTCTCTCCTGCTCTGTATAATGTCTGTCTTTGTCACACAGGGGAAGGTCAGTCAGTTCCTCGTAGCCCGATATGGGTTCTCACCAAACTGTCAAGTTGGCGCTTTCACCGGAGACAACCCAGGTACAGTACTTCTGTCGACAAAATTCTACTTAGATTTTTTATTCCTTGGATGGCGTATGTAAGGCCACATGGTTTTGACTTATGGTTTACAAAATTTGCTACAAATTAGCCATGGTCAGTCAAAACAAAAGTGAAATTTTATATTTGTAAATTTTTGTTTATGTTATTTGGAATGAAGTCGTTTGGTGGGTTTACTGGGAAAGAATAAATGCTAATACTGTTTAAAGTGCACAGTTTGGTATTCTTAAAGTACTATTACAGTGTTCCCTCGCTATTGCGCCCTTCAATATAGCGCTAACTCGGTAACGCATGATATTTAATAAACTCAAGTTTCAAACGGACATGATGTTTTTTATCTCAAATTTCACATTTTTTATTGATCGAGATTGTCATCTTCTGTTCTCTCACCTGATTTTGCTGAAGGGATACGATTAGCTTTTTACTGCCCATAATACCTGATAAGTCTTTATGTACACTATGAATCATAGACAACTGCTATATTCTAATCTTTTTTCAAACTCTGATATGCTACATGCAAAGCAAAGCTATAGTGGCGTAGATCATGTTAGTTAGGCCGGGACTGTACTGTCTACCACATACAACACCACCTCGGTAGAACAGCTGATCATCTATAAAACTCATCCATTCTTTGGACCCCAAAGGTTGTGGTTTTTTTTGTAGTGAGGGATCACTGTATGTGTATGAATGTTTGAGAGGGTGAGTTTTGTCCTGTTATTTCCAGAATGTTATGTATTCTGTCTCACTGTTCCATTGTTTCTCCGCAGCTTCACTGGCAGGTCTTGCACCAAAACAAGGGGATCTCATCGTGAGTTGTCTCATCACATTCACAGTGTATGCATCAATGCTCACGGCTTCCTGTCTGTCATTATACCCAGATGGGTGGATCAATGCTCATGGCTTCCTGTCTGTCATTATACCCAGATGGGTGGATCAATGCTCACGGCTTCCTGTCTGTCATTATACCCAGATGGGTGGATCAATGCTCATGGCTTCCTGTCTGTCATTATACCCAGATGGGTGGATCAATGCTCATGGCTTACTGTCTGTCATTGTACCTAGATAGGGTGGATCAATGCTCATGGCTTCCTGTCTGTCATTATACCCAGATGGGTGGATCAATGCTCACGGCTTACTGTCTGTCATTATACCTAGATGGGTGGATCAATGCTCATGGCTTACTGTCTGTCATTGTACCTAGATAGGGTGGATCAATGCTCACGGCTTCCTGTCTGTCATTATACCCAGATGGGTGGATCAATGCTCACGGCTTACTGTCTGTCATTATACCCAGATGGGTGGATCAATGCTCACGGCTTCCTGTCTGTCATTATACCCAGATGGGTGGATCAATGCTCACGGCTTACTGTCTGTCATTATACCCAGATGGGTGGATCAATGCTCACGGCTAACTGTCTGTCGTTTTACCTAGATGGGGTGGATCAATGCTCACGGCTTACTGTCTGTCGTTATACCTAGATGGGTGGATCAATGCTCACGGCTTACTGTCTGTCATTATACCCAGATGGGTGGATCAATGCTCACGGCTAACTGTCTGTCGTTATACCTAGATGGGTGGATCAATGCTCACGGCTAACTGTCTGTCGTTATACCTAGATGGGGTACGTGGATCAATGCTCACGGCTAACTGTCTGTCGTTTTACCTAGATGGGGTGGATCAATGCTCATGGCTTACTGTCTGTGGTTATACCCAGATGGGGTGGATCAATGCTCATGAGTTACTGTGTGTCATTATACCCAGATGGGATGGATCAGTGCTCATGAGTAACTGTCTGTCATTATACCCGGATTGGGTTGATCAATGCTCACGGCTTACTGTCTGTCATTATACCCAGATGGGTGGATCAATGCTCACGGCTAACTGTCTGTCGTTATACCTAGATGGGTGGATCAATGCTCACGGCTTACTGTCTGTCGTTATACCTAGATGGGGTGGATCAATGCTCATGGCTTACTGTCTGTCGTTATACCTAGATGGGGTTGATCAATGCTCATGGCTTCCTGTCTGTCGTTATACCCAGATGGGGTGGATCAATGCTCATGGCTTACTGGCTTACCCATCTCACTCACTCACTCACTCACTCACTCACTCACTCACTCACTCACTCACTCACTCACTCACTCACTCACTCACTCACTCACTCACTCACTCACTCACTCACTCCTGTTTTCATAATTACTAGTCTTAAAGTCTTCATGGATTTGTATTTTTTCCTCCATCACCCAGGAATACATACAAATGCTTTGTAGTGTGGTTGTTTTTAACCAAAAGATCAACCCACAGATTAGATTCAAGAACACTATCTGATGAAATTAAATTTCATCCAACACAGTTTCAGCCTAAAACACACCTGTTTCAAGCGTTCTAATGTCTGTGGAACTCTTCTCTACCTTGTAAAGCTCTTCGTGTGGATTTGGAGCGAGATAAGTGGTCTTATTTTCATTATTCAACACATTGCTTCAATATCAGGTACCGGTAATGTCCACACAATATTCATACATGGCGTCGGCCTCATTTCATTACTTGATTTAAGGTAGAACTGCTACACCACATTTGGTGTGTATGTATTCATGGGCATCTTCCTGAAGCAAGGTTGTTAACTGACTGTAAAATTCCAGTTTCTACCCTTGCCGAACTAAGCTGGAATTTCTAGGCTCAATTTTTACGCTACTAGTGGTTATTAAGAGTTACGTCTTTTCTATGTCCCTCCTATTGACCAATCAGATTCTTCCTCTCCTATCCCTTGATTGCTTCAAACGAAATGGCAGCACCCAGTCAAGACGATCTGATCGATAATCAAGATCTATATCGTAATCAAACAGGTCTTACTTCACTAAGTGGCTCAAATCACTTGAGCACTTGATTAAAAACATGAACTGATTTGGAAGGTATCTGTGGTAACTGGACTGTTATAGTCAGTTAACTCCCTTGCCTCGGGAAGATGATTCAATGGTGATGGGGGAGTGTAGTGTCGTCAAACAGATGGACGTGTGACGAGCTATTACCTACTTTACCTGTGTTGTGTGTGCAGGTGAGCCTTGGCACGAGTGACACAGTATTCCTCTGGCTGACAGAGCCCAAGCCTGCCCTCGTGGGACACATCTTTGCCAACCCTGTGGACACATCAGCCTACATGGCACTGCTCTGGTAGGATACAAAGACAACAGTGTTGACAGTTGCCATTCTGTACCCGTAAAGCTCCGGGGTAGAAACTGCCTTCAGCAACCCATGCTTGTCGTAAGACGAGACTAATGGGATCAGGTGGTCGCTGACTTGGTTGATGCATGTCATTGTACCTCAATGATGTAGATCGTTGCACATAATATCAATCACTGGCATGTCTGTTCCAGACTCCATTGTTTGCAGGCTGCCATCATAGAGATTATGGCTGAGTTCAGCGTTACACTACAAACAAAAAGTTGCCCCTCTTCAATACCGTTGTCAGGCACCTCTGTGGCGACCGTGGTGATTCTGAGGTAGAAAGGTCCCCAGAGCCTCACGCCTGTAGTAAAAGCTGACTAATAAAACAAATGCTGTTAATAATATGTCAAATCCATACCAATATTTTGCACCAATTTTTGCCAGTATGGTCAAGTTAAATATTGCCAGTAATTTTGAATTCTAAATGAAGATTTCTACATCAAATTATTGTTGCCTTCACCATATGTAGTATGTTGACAGGTCACATGATAAGGCTAGAAAAATCTTACATAGAAAAACAAATTTCTTTCAGAAGGTTTTCTCATTTGTGTTTCCATTCAGAGCAATTGTGCTAGTGGTGAATACAATTTGTTCTGAAACTTGCCAACTTTATACCCTTATCATCCCAGATGTTTCTATTTGCCTTAATTTTGGGTTGCCATCTTTGAGGTAATAAGTAATATTAGGAGGGTCAGATACCTCTTGTTGGGGTGGGTCGGTGGGTGGGGGAAGGGGTTGAGAGAGACACGGGTTGGAATTGATCTTCAGAAACCCATGCTTGTTGTAAGAGGAGACTAACATGATGGGGTGATCAAGCTCGCTGACTTTGTTGATGCATGTTTTAGTATCCCAATTGTGTAGATCGATGCTCATGGACTAGGCTCAGTTATTTACAGACCGTTGTCATATAGCTGGAATATTGCTGAGTGCTGCAATAAACAACTTACCGGTATGTACCAAGAAACAAGATAGAATAAATCTCCAATACTCTTTGCTTTTCAAAAGAAAGGTCACTGTAATTCAGCAAGGGTGTGCGATATAACTGGTATATTGCAATACGTCCGTCAGCAATACACGTATCGCAATACTACCCTTGTGTGTTAGTATTTGCCGATACAGTCACAGAAAAATTAATATATAATTATTTATATTATATGTACAATCTTGAGGCATTTGGATGGACTGGGTTCCTATCTAAACCATGTAAACAGCACACACTTCACGCTGTTGACATTAACATTCCATACTGATGATGTAATAGGTAGTCTTGTTTATCCATACCACCCATGTCACAATCTGAAATCTGGATTATTGAATGAAGATGTACCATTTGAACAGTACAAATATATATAATTTGTGCCCAGTACACATAGCAAGATGTATCGAAATACAGCTCTCCGTATTGCGATCTATTGCAATATGATTAATGTGCTAATACGCCAACCCTATGATATAGCTATCACATTGCTGACTGTGGTGTACGTGAAAAATAATGCCCGTTATAGCTTACCATGCTGTGAAGTTAAAGTTATAGCTGACACCTTATTCATAATTGTAAATGTTGGTGAATTTCATTGGTGTATTTGTAAGAGTGAATATTATCCTAACCTATTTTTGAACCCGGGGATGAAATTCTCTAGTGTCAGGATTATTCTCCCTAGTGAATTTGAACCCATACCAGTGTGTTGGATCCTATCCTATACTATCCTCTAGAGTAAAACTTCCCCCGGGATAATATTTAGGTAGGATATAATCTTTGCTTACATGTTCACATTCCTGGTGAAAAGTGTAGTCAAACATTTAGCCCTGTGTAACCAGATATTCCTGGCAAACAGTTCCGACTATGGAACTTGATGGTGTATGTTATCATGGCTGTGATGGCGTGTTTTGTTTCAGTTTCAAAAATGGCTCTTTGACTAGAGAAAGGGTTAGAGACGACATTGCTGACAAATCATGGGACAAATTTGGGGAGCTTTTACAGAAATCCCCCATTGGAAATAATGGCAATATAGGTATGAAATATTTTGTGTAATTTTGTGTGGAGACATGTGCAGTCTCTTGTGGCTCCTCATCGCAGCAGAGAAAGTCTATTACTGTGGACAGCACACTGAAGAAATACATGGGGCATAAATGAGGATTTAGATTTGGCAATATGTAAAAGAAGGATCGTTAAAAGTTTGTTAAATTGCAAGTGTATACTTATTGTATGATTTAATGGTGTTTATTCTCCCAGCTGTGGAATCCATATTCTTGGTGCAATGCTCTTTCTTGCCTCCTGTGTTTGTTTCTGCAGCAAGTAATATTAACAAGGAAGCCTAAAACGTTTTCACTTGTGATTGCAGTGTCCATGGAAAATGAGTGAGTGAGTTGGGTTTAATGTCGCTTTGAACAGTATTCCAGTTATATCATGGCGTGTCAGATTAATATGAGAGGAAAGCCTGAAGTGGTCTCAGACGTTTACCACTTTGGTGAAACCCATGAGCACCAGTATGATGCTGCCAAACCTAGAAACATCTTGTGAGTGAACTGGGATTCAAACCCCCTATCATAGGTTTCTGGCATGCCCAGGGGACACAACTCTGCACAGCAGATTGCAGCACCCTAGGCGACTCTGTGTCACCCGTGCTCCCCCCAATGAAAATGAAAGTGCCAAGAAAAGCAAACACATACAATATGATTATCATGATTATAGTCCTTATTTAATTGATTTATCATTTGAATACTGAACCCAAAATTCTTTGTTTATGTATTCATATCAGTCACGTGAACATTGATGGTCGTTGAGCAACCAATAAAATATTGTTTACAAGATGACTGGCACCGAAAAAAATCCTCACTTTCATCAGAAAATCTACATCTCTATGTCAGAAATATGCTACATAATTATAATATTAAAGAAATTATAATATTGTCATGGGGAATTCATACTTTTTTGGGATAAAAGACAAACTGTAACAGGATAATATGAAACAAGGCCACACAAGAAGTTGGAATACAAGTTATTTATTCTTTGGGTCTAACATCAAACTTCAACACAGAGTTACTTGATTGGATAATCAATACACAATATGGCCCTCCTATTGACCAATCAGGTTCCGCCCCTCATATCCCTTGCATTCAAACAAGATTGTGACACCCAGTCAAGGCAATCTGATTGATAATTAAGATCTATATTGTAATAAAATGGGTCTTACATCGCGAGGTGCATCAAATCACTTGAGCACCTTGATTAAAAACATGAAAACATTTGGAAAATGTCTGTGGAGGCCCAATTGACGGTACATGTTTTGCAAATCCTGCAGTCAACCAAATCCAGGTTTTTATGAAACAGATGTCTAGTTCGTTAAGCAAATTTGATTGGACTATGCATAGACGTGTTAGTCCAGCCAGAATGTAACCAATGAATAATAGATGAAGATGAGTGAAATGGGGAAATGACGTTCACATGGTTCAAAGATTGATCGGGCGGTCGGGTAGCCTAGTGGTTAAAGCGTTCGCTCGTCACGCCGAAGACCCGGGTTCGATTCCTGACATGGGTACAATGTGTGAGGCCCATTTCTGGTGTCCCCCGCCGTGATATTGCTGGAATATTGCTAAAAGCGGCGTAAAACCATACTCACTCACTCAAAGATGGATCAAGAGTATCCTTCTTGTTGCCATGCTAAAGCATCTTTTAAAAATATGAGTGTCTTGTGGCACACCTGAACAACAACAACAATAATACAGCTGTCTCTGCCTTTGATGAGTGAAGTACTTGGTTTACGACAATTTTAGACTGTCTGTTCCAGGAATATACTTTGATATCACCGAGATCCAGCCAGTGGTGGAGGGTGTGTACAGGTTCGACAAGACGGACAAGGAGGTAGGTTTGTTTGTGTGTTCTTTTACACAGCACTCAGCAATATTTCAAAAATATGGTGATGACCTGTAAATAATTGATTCTGGAACAGACAATCCAGTGATTGATATTGTAAGCAAAGATCCAGTATAGTTTTTTTTTATTTTTTGTGTATATTTTTTTAAACAAATGTTTTATTTCATGTCTTTGGACATTTTATTAACTGTCAATGGATGGGATACACATGAGTAATGAATGTTTGGTAGGACTAGGTATACGGGGAATTTCGTCAGTAAGGAAAGAAGGCAATACGCATAGTGATTTTCTTCATCCATAGATACATTGGGATGGTAAAATGATGTTTGTTAGGGAGGCGGGCTTGGAAGAAAATCTCATAACAAATCATAGTCTAATCAGTGATATTTACTTCTTGTAAATTCACTCACAATCGAAGGACTGTGTATTAATCTCTGTGATATGTTTAATTGATGTATTCTTAGGAAAGGACAGGCTTTGATGAGGATGTACCTTGCAGTATAATTAGGAACTGCATAATTTATTAAATGAACAAAACTTGTAGAAATTGTTTTAAAAGTAATTAATTACAAATATACTTATCATGTCATAGGGTTTTACACAACACACAAATGTGCCTCCAGTCCGCACAAATGTAGAGAATTGACACAGACAAAAATTATGTTGTACCTACAGAGCATCAAGACCAGTTATGGGTGTCTGTTTTCATCCATCAATAATGACCACTGTCCACCTGATCCTTGATTCATTCCAGGCTCTAAAGTAATTATCTGAAGGCCAAGTACATTACACCTTTTTATCATGTTACAGGGCACTCATATTGCCTACAAGGATCCTTAAAATACATTATTGGGGGTCCCCTGGGCCCCTACTTTTGTACATCAAGGTAAAACCCTGTGCCAGAAGTAAAAAAACTGTAGGAGAGAAACAAGGCTTGTAGTCATCCATTTGAACATGTCTGACAATATTCATACCAATATTTCAACTTTAGGATTTGTAATTTCCAGTGGACAGATATCAGCCCTTATACTACCTTGTCCTTTTTAATCAGCGACAGCCTCGCATCATCTGTCTAGTGGTATGGGGGCGGTCGGGTAGCCTAGTGGATAAAGCGTTTGCTCGTCATGCCTGACCTGAGTTAGATTCCCAACATGGGTACAATGTGTGAAGCCCATTTCTGGTGTCCCCCGCCGTGATATTGCTGGAATATTGCTAAAAGCGCTGTAAAACCATACTCACTCATTCACTCCAGTGCTACATGTGTGTCTGTACGTGTTGTAGGTCTCGTCGTTTCCCCCAGAGGTTGAGGTGCGGGCACTGATTGAGGGTCAATTCATGGCTCGAAGGGTTTACTCCGAAACTCTAGGATTTCAAATAGGTCAGTACCACCAAATGTTTAACAGGTGACATTGAACTGAGAATGTGTAGTTCTGGTGCATATTTCCTGCAACGTCCTGTAGGTTAGGGCTAGGACGGTTAACTCGGGTATACAGGTCAGGTGGGTCCTGAGTAGGACCTGGGTACTCACAATACTACCCGAATCCGTGGTTAGTTTTGTGATGTATTGTTTTATGATAATAACTCACTATATCTCAGTGATTACACTACAAGTCGCATTTCTTTCTGACGATGCACACATTCCTTTGACTTGTATATGTTTGAGTAAAGATGAAGCTTCAGTCAACTTCGTTGTACGCATGATCTGATTGTTTGATACAAGTACCGTATTCGACATAATAAGCGCCCAGGGCGCTCTCAAAATTAGAAATAGGGGGCTCTTATTAGATAAAATTTTGGTGAAAAAAAAACAGTTGAAAGATCGAAAATTTTGTGGTTTATGCTTACAGCCTGAAATGATACAAAAGAAAAGTCTGTTCGTATTATACACGACAGATATATTTTTCCAGAATATAGGCTTATAATTAAGGGTGCATGTAACACACGAGTGTGTATTATACACAAATAAATAAGTCTTGTGTACATTGATCAATCGGAAGGGGTACTAATTGGGATTGTTCACTAGCCAATATATTAGCAAATATCACCGTGGGTGCTTATTAGAGCAGCGTGCTTATTAAGTTGAAGACGGTATCTATATAGTTTTTGCCAGGGCTGCAATAAAACAATTCCAAATCAGAGATTTTCCGTTTCAAGGGCCCCCAATGTTTTGAAAAATAAAAAGGTTTCGCAATACTTTTAGTTCATTGTAAGTACTCACAGCTTCAAATTCTCCGTTTTCACTTGTTGAAATTTTCTAAAATGATCATAATTGATTTTCAAGTAAAGACAAGAAATAAAACTGGGTGAATAGTCCCGACAGTCTTTAAGAAATATTAAAATATTACTAATGAAAAAGTGGGCAATTTCTATTCTGATTGATAGAGCCCGCAGACCCTCCCAAACTGGTAACATTTCACCAGGACTGGCACCAATGAGTTACCTATTTTCCATATGTATTGTAAATATGTTGATATATTCTGATGAGTTCCCAACAATGCTTGAACCACAAACTGGACTGTGCATGCCAAGCTCTTACCAATGCTGGGGTCTTTCTCATACTTAAGCAGTGGTCATTTTCTTATGAAGGGAGTGGTCTTTCTCTGATTTAAACGTTCTTTATATATAACAATAACCATCTTCCCGAGACAAGAGAGTAAACTGACTATAAAAGTCCAGTTTTCACCCTTGCCGAACTAGGCTGGTATTATGGAGTTACATTTTGGCTGGACTAACGAGTCTGTGCATAGTCCAATCAAAATCTTGCAACGGAATCGAAATCCGGTTCGTAAACTGTAATGCAGATTTCGGTCGATTGCAGGATTTGTGAAGCATGTGCACCACCAACTCGTTGTCAACAGATATTTTCCAAATCTTGTCATGTTTTTAATCAAGGTGCTCACGTGATTTGATGCACTTTGCGATGTAAGACCCGTTTTATCGTAATATAGATACTGATTATTGATCAGATCGTCTTGACTGGGTGCCGACATTTTGTTTGGAGCATATGCAAGTGATACGAGAGGTGGCATCTAATTGGTCCATAGGAGAAGATTTGAGGGGATATAACTCGAAATAGGCCACTGGTGACGCTACGACCGAGCCCAGGAATTCCAGCCTAGTTCGGCAAGGGTGGAAACTGGACTTTTATAGTCGGTTAACTCTCTTGCCTCGGGAAGATGAACAATAACATTCAATTAATTTTTCAGGTTACACTAACAGATAGAGAAGAGAAATTCTTTAATTGGGTATTAATTAATTTGCTTGTGTTTTGTCAGGCATCAATACTGGAAGTGGTCCAGGTAGAGCATGTTGCTACACTAGACACGTCTAGACCTGTTTCAGTTTGTAACCAGCCTTGCACAACTCACACAATAATAACCTGCTTTAATGTAAGCCCAAATATTTGTTGTTGTTTTTAATACAAATTGCCACATTTTAGAATTTTCTTGTTTTTGCCAATTTTGTTGTTGGAAGTTTTTGTTTGTTTTGTTTTTTGCCCTTTCAGGCCAGTAGTTTGAAAGAAGAAAGATTTCAACAGAACCTATTACTTGTGGTGTATATAGAGTGTAGGGGTCACATATCGTATATTTGAGTCTTGATACCATACATATCAATATACTAATTTGCAATGTTTTGCTTACATACCACTGATTACCTGTGAAGATCCGGGATAGAATAGGTCTTCAGCAACCCATGCTTGCCTTAAAAGGTGACTATGCTTGTCGTAAAAGGCGACTAACAGGATCAGGTGGTCAGGCTCACTGACTTGGTTGATGCATGTCATCGTGTCCCAATTGCGCGGATCAATGCACATGATGTCAATCACTGGATTGTCTTGTCCAGACTCGATAACTTACAGACCGACGTTATGTAGCTGGAATATTGCTGAGTGCGGTGTTAAACAACAAACAAAACAAAAAACATGCCACTGATATGCAACTACCGGTTTCACAAGTTGCAGGAACTGACTTTGTATGAAATGTAGCTCTGTCTGTGTGTCCCCTCCTTCAGTTTAGAAGTGCACATGGCGGTGTAATGTCATGTTGACTGATGAATAATAATGTTATGTAAGTCAGAAGGAGTTTAGAGTTTTCATGTTTTTGCTCGAAATTCGCCATGTTTCATGTGGCCTTACTGAACAAGAGGCTGTTGCTATCAGCCAGGTTATGTTTTGATTGCATGACTGGTTAATTGAGGCTTGTTTGAATAATTTTGTGTAATCAGATTTATCATTTTGATGGGTTTTAAGGTGATTTCAAAGTTTCGTAAATATGACTTTTTATAAGGCTTGTCCATCTGTATATACCGTATTCGACGTAATAAGCGCCCACGGCATTATTAGCTAATATATTGGCAAGTGAACAATCCCAATTAGCACCCCTTCCGATTGATCAATGTACACAAGACTTATTTATTCGTGTATTATACGCACTCGTGTGTTATATGCACCCTTAATTATGGGCAATTAAATTCTGGAAAAATATATCTGTCGTATATAGTTCAGGCCGTCAGCATAAACCACGAAATTTATCTTTCAACTCTGTTTTTACCACCAAAATAATATTCTAATAAGAGCCCCCTATTTCTAATTTTGAGAGCGCCCTGGGCGCTTATTACGTCGAATACGGTATATGTACTTTGTTGGAGAGTTTGCCACAAAACCTCTACTGGGATTTGTTTTTTGTTTGGTGCCAAGCTGTCTTATGGGTATTCGCAGACCTCAGTTGATAATGGTGACCTTGACTTTATTTTCAAGGTCATGGGAAGGTTTTGATCAATTTGCTGTTTGAACGCGAGCTATCTCAATAAACACTTGATTTTATTCAAATTTTGTCGAAAGGTTTCTTTGCAAGCTTTTCCCATCTTGCTGTTTGTTAGTGACATTTCTAAAAATATATATCATACATTCATATAATGTAAGCAAAGTCCGAAGAGTCTGTCGACCAGCAAGCCTTTTCTCCAAATATGTCTGTGTACAATTATTCAAATGAGGTTGCAGATGAATATGATATTCTGTTGTCAAAATGTATTTGCTCTACGAGAACAAAATGAAGCTTGTTATTTAAATACCTGATAATTATTTTGCTGTTGTGTCATCCCTCACAAATACATTTACCAGCGTGTATAGGGAGTAGAAACAGACTTTTCAGGCCAACTGTATGTATTCAATCTGTTGACCAGGCAAGAGTTCAATTATAATTACTCCACAAACTGTCATCACAAACTGTCATCACAAATTGGGTTAGATGAAAACACTTTTTTCATTAAAGTGAGGAGCAGAGAGTTGTAGTACCAATGATCCTGACACGAATGACGTTTTCATGTATTGAGAAATGTGTCATATTGTTAAGTGTATCATGCTTCAGTTACTGTTCAACAATGACGTGTGTACTTATATAGTTATATTTAACTTCTTTATGTCATATGCTGTGTTTGCATGATGCCAAAGAATGCTTACATTTTTAACTCACCTCACTGAAAGTCAATTGAGTTTATGCCATGGCCTGCTTGTCCGGCATCTGGTTACAGTGTCGGCGTCACTGTCACCGTCTGTAAACAACTTGTCCAATGTGGACCAATGTAGCTAAATCGTCCCATCCTTGTTCCCACCAATGATGAAACCTGAAACAGGTATGAATCTGATTCGGGAAATCCATAGTAAAAAAACTATTTATAGCCACTATTTCTCCTCAAATTGTACAGTAATCAGTGTTGGAAATAAGCACCTGCTTGTAGACCTGTGTCGGGCTGTAGTTTCAAATTTGTATGGGTCCTGATGGCCGGCAGTAAATTTATGTGTGGATTTATTTGTCAGAGTAAGTGGGAGTTATTTAAATGGGGCCCTGAAGAGTTTTCTTGGGGCCTGTAGGTACTAAAATCTGTGGTTCCTGTGATGACATATTTTGTTGAAATCAAAGGGATTTTACTGTGTTTTTTTGTGTGAAACGTTTTAATTTGCATATTCTCCTTAGAAGGTGTATAAGACTCAGAGCTGAACATTGCAGAAATGTTCTTATCAGCACATTCAGTTTTTCAGATCCAGAAACAATGTGAAAATATAGTTTATTGCTTCATATTTGAGAATACTTTTGACCTCAGTATTTGTGAAGAAAATCTTGAATAGCAATTCTAACTGCAACATTTGCAAGTCAAGTGTCTTTAAAATTTTAAACTGTTGACTTTTTATCTAGGTGATCTACAGTGCCGTGGCACTGTTTTAGCAAATTGTATTTGTTTGTGTTGTCTTCATAATAATAATTATCATCACCATCCAGAGCTTCTATTTAGATGTTCGCATATATAGAAATTTGTTGTCAGCTTTTTAGCAGATTTGTTGCTGAACATTTTGTGCTTTCGTATCAAGGTTATAAGGTGTCAGGAATCCTACAGTTATTGTCAAGGAAACATTCATTTCGTAAAGTTAGAACAATGCAACAGCTGTATCACTGCAGTAGTCTGTGGGAGATAGACAGTCATCACCTCAAAGATTTCTTGTTATTTCACTGCAGCAAAGATGACGTTTATGGGTATTTTGATGGCAGATTTGAAATTGGATAAGGTTTGATGCCAGTACAAATTGTTTTGTGGGCAACAAGAGAAACAGAAAATGTGAGATGGGCAGCCAACAACATCCAGGACTGCACTCAGGGGTTACAATAGGTCTTCAGCAACCCATACTTGCCATAAAAGGCGACTATGCTTGTCGTAAGAGAGGACCAATGGGATTGGGTGGTCAGGCTCGCTGACTTGGTTGATGCATGTCATCATATCCCAATTGTGTGGATCGATGCTCGTGATGTAAATCACTGGATTGTCTGGTCCAGATGCGATTATTTACAGACCACCGTAATATAGCTGGAATATTGCTGAGTGCGGCATGAAATAACAAACAAACAAAAAAACTGTACTCAGAGGTGCCAACCATTTTGACTTGGGCAGATTCATTATGATATTTTGAACCCTCCAGGGTATAAGTTCCCAAATTGGAATTAATAGTTTTCGAAATTCAGTTCAGTATTATTATAAGTTATTTTTTTACTTTGCAAATAATGTGCCTTGTTATTAAATGATAATGGGGTGAATAAAAATAAAAAGTGTTAACCACTTAATTTTACCTAAATGCATTGAATGCAAGGTTAACATACCTCTGAATATAAGATTGGTTTGTTGTTTTACACCTCACTCAGCAATATTCCAGCTATATGACAGCGGTCTGTAAAATAATCGAGTCTGGACCAGACAATCCAGTGATTGATATCATGAGCATTGACGCACGCAATTGGGATTGATGACATGCATCAACCAAGTCAGCGAGCTGAATATAAGAAAATAAGCACATATAAAGGAAAATTTTGAAGTAATTTCCCAATTTGCCTTTCACTTAGTTTCGATCCAAGATATTAAAGCCTGTGTGTCCCATGAAATATTATCCTGTGCCATGTTAAGGCAGTGGTAACACTGATGACTTCTCCTGTAGATTCCAACACCCGTGTGATCGCCACAGGAGGGGCTTCCATGAACACAGCAATACTACAGGTGACATTTTGATCACATCATTTCTTTGTAAACTGGTTTAAGGATCTACCAACCCAATCTTTCACAAATATCATCACATTGTAAAGTAATTTTGTTTTTGTCAATAGTAGACATATGTTTAAAGGGAAGTAACTCTGACTTGACATTATCAGAGTAACATCCCATCAAATTTCTCTCACATGAGTGAAACATTTTTGGATCCCTGAGTTTTGTCATTCAAATGACTTCGACTAATATAATAAGGTCTATAATCATCATAATACCCTGGATAATGACGGATGCATGTATAGTCAAACACCATTGTGCCGAACTTTGATGTGTCAAACCTACGTTTGCCTCGAAGTTTAAACATGATCCCCATGTATTCCTTCAGTCAAATTTTAACTTGAAGTATTTATGTAGGTCCCTTCAACTTTGACACAACGGTGTTTGACTAGTTTTCATTTCAAGTTTTTAGTTCACTACACTGATCATACTATCAAGAGGCTGCTATCAAGATATGCTTGTTGAAAGTTTATTTTTGTGTCAGTAATTTCATTTCTAACACCTGGTAACCAAGTGCTATTGTAAAGAGGCTTAAAACATTTATCAATCAGTGATCATTGTATATCACAGGTGAACATTGTATATTACAGGTGATCATTGTATATTACATGTGATCATTGTATATTACAGGTGATCATTGTTTATTACAGGTGGTCATTGTATATTACAGGTGGTCATTGTATATTACATGTGATCATTGTATATTACAGGTGATCATTGTATATTACAGGTGGTCATTGTATATTACAGGTGATCATTGTATATTACAGGTGATCATTGTATATTACATGTGATCATTGTATGTTACAGGTGATCATTGTATATTACAGGTGAACAATGTATATTACAGGTGAACATTGTATATTACAGGTGGTCATTGTATATTACAGGTGATTATAGTATATTACAGGTGATCATTGTATATTACAGGTGATCATTGTATATTACAGGTGATCATTGTATATTACAGGTGATCATTGTATGTTACAGGTGATCATTGTATATTACAGGTGGTCATTGGATATTACAGGTGATCATTGTATATTACAGGTGAACATTGTATATTACAGGTGGTCATGGTATATTACAGGTGATCATGGTATATTACAGGTGATCATGGTATATTACAGGTGATCATTGTATATTACAGATGATCATTGTATGTTACAGGTGTTCATTGTATATTACAAGTGGTCATTGTATATTACATGTGATCATTGTATGTTACAGGTGATCATTGTATATTACAGGTGATCATGGTATATTACAGGTGATCATTGTATATTACAGGTGATCATGGTATATTACAGGTGATCATTGTATATTACAGATGATCATTGTATGTTACAGGTGTTCATTGTATATTACAAGTGGTCATTGTATATTACATGTGATCATTGTATGTTACAGGTGATCATTGTATATTACAGGTGGTCATTGTATATTACAGGTGATCATTGTATATTACAGGTGATCATTGTATATTACAGGTGGTCATTGTATATTACAGGTGATCATTGTATATTTCAGGTGGTCATTGTATATTACAGGTGATCATTGTATATTACAGGTGATCATTGTATATTACAGGTGGTCATTGTATATTACAGGTGATCATTGTATATTACAGGTGGTCATTGTATATTACAGGTGGTCATTGTATATTACAGGTGATCATTGTATATTCCAGGTGATCATTGTATATTACAGGTGGTCATTGTATATTACAGGTGATCATTGTATATTACAGGTGGTCCTTGTATATTACAAGTGATCATTGTATATTACAGGTGGTCCTTGTATATTACAGGTGATCATTGTATATTACAGGTGATCAGGTGTTCACCATGTTAACAATATGACGGGTAGGAAGTTACCACACAACTCTGTTCATTTGTTGTTGGATGTTTGTTTTCTTCACAGGTTTTGTCTGATGTTTTCAATGCCCCAGTTTATATCAAGGACGTGGCCAACTCAGCAGCCCTAGGATGTGCGTTCAGGGCCAAACACAGTGAGTTTTGTTTGTTTGTCTATTGCAGTGATATGTTGAAAACCTTTAAGTTTCAAACATTTTACCATGGACGATGGAAAAAAACATTACATGAATATTTTATAAAAAATTATATGGTACTATTCATACACACAGTGATACATATGAAATATAGTGAGTGAGTGAGTGAGTATGGTTTTACGCCGCTTTTAGCAATATTCCCGCAATATCACCGCGGGGGACACCAGAAATGGGCTTCACACATTGTACCCATATCGGGTATCAAACCTGGGTCTTCGGCGTGACTACCAGACCACCCCCATATGAAATATAAGAAACATTAGCGAACATGGAACATCTCTGGAAATGTAACACATTATATATATATATATATATATATATATTAGAAGTATTCAGGTGTATTTGGACCACTACTCCTAAGATAGTTGGGTGGCGTGGGAAACTCCATTCTGGCATTAGGTTAATGTGTGCTGACAAGATGGACCCCCTTGTAACTGTGAATACTGGAATACTAGCTGGGCATGTTAAATATACATGTATGTGGTTCTTCCTGCCAGGCTGGCTGGGACCGGGGGTGCCCTACATGAAGGGGGTGAATGAGCCATTGTGTGTGTGGCCATGTTATATATACATGTATGTGGTTCTTCCTGCCAGGCTGGCTGGGACCTGGGGTGCCCTACACAGAGGTGGTGTGTGGCCATGTTATATGTACATGTATGTGGTTCTTCCTGCCAGGCTGGCTGGGACCGGGGGTGCCCTACACGGAGGTGGTGAAGGGGGTGAATGAACCAGTGTGTGTGGCCATGTTATATGTACATGTATGTGGTTCTTCCTGCCAGGCTGGCTGGGACCGGGGGTGCCCTACACGGAGGTGGTGAAGGGGGTGAATGAACCAGTGTGTGTGGCCACGCCCACACCGGGAGCAGACAAAGTAAGTACAGTGACACCCTGTTGATCCAGACAGTACTGATTTCACTGAAACTGTGAGATAGTTCTCAATTAATAATACCTGGTTAATACAGTAATGTCGCTTCATATATCATTTTTATACAATTCAGCAAAAATCTTTTTCAAAAGGGGAAATCTGCTAACATTTTTTCCCCAGAGCACCATGTTCTGGCAATCTTGGGATGTAAAAATTGTCTTGTGCTTAAGTCTGACAATAATTTTAGTTGACAGAAAATGAGAAACTCACATGAAAATACAGATGACCTAAAGGGCTTCAGTAGTTTACAGATTCTTCTTCCTTCTAAATATATTAGTTATTTTCCATTTATCATGTTAAGTCTCAGTCCTTTCTGAAATAGAAATGCCTCACCGATTTCTGATTTTTTAGGAAAAAAAGCATTATATTGACTTCAGATGACAGAATAGCCAGCTTGACTGTCCTATTTTTCTTTGTATCAAGAATGTTTTGCATTGGGATGTGGGGGTAAATATATGTTGATAGGATTAAACACACTGGTATGGGTTCAAATTCACTAGGGAGAATCATCCTGATACGAGAGAATTTCATCCCTGACATAAAAAATAGGGTAGGATAATATTCACTCTTACACTAGCTGCTGGTGTTGTTTCAGATATATGAGCCACTGTGTGCCCGCTACAGGGTGTTAGAAGAGAAGATAGCACAGAAGAACTCCTGAGTCAGCAAGTCCAGCCAACACACATAGACCTCTTGACCCCATTGACTTGGACATGGGTTCCAGGGTGTAAGTGTCTGTCGGGTCAACAAACCATTGTGACACTAGGTGCTTTATGGAACTGGCCAGGAGTATTCATCGTCTCTGCTTCTCGTGTTTGTATTCACTGCATTCCTCCCTCACCACTGAATGCATACCTCCATTCAACGCCTAGATGCCATTTATAACCAGTGATTCAAGACAAGACCTGGGTCCACTTGCACAAAGCGATCTTAGCGCTAAGACTATCGTAAGTCTGTGTTAAAGTATGGGAGTTACGATCATCTTAGCGCTAAGATCGCTTTGTGCAAATGAACCCTGGTTCCAGGGAGAGGAAAACCAATGAACACTGATTACATCAGAAATATTTTCTGTGCAACTTTTGCCATTGGCTTGTGGCTACCTACTCTGCAGATTGTTTCAGTATCTGACAAAAGTATAATTGTAGCATTATCACTCGGGGAATATGTGATTTTAAACATAGGCGAGTCATATAAAACCAGAGGGATGCATGAAACCACATATACTAATAAAACAAATTTAATTTACCGTGAATTAAAATAAATTAAAAATTTATAGAAAACAGCTGTTCGATTGAGCTGAGATTTTCTTTTGTTGTGTCACATGACTTTAATTGACTCGTAAACAATGTGTGGCATTTTTCTTCGTACCAGGGTATAAGGGATTTATTCTCCCACTCAGAAATCCATGTGCAGCCTGTTTTCTTCATGGCGGGGTATGAGGGATTTATTGTCCCACTCAGAAATGTATTTTCCTCCCATGTGGGATGCATCATATTTTTCTAAGATCATGTAAACCAATCAGATCTCAATATTCTGACATCTACAGAGACCATGCATGGAATAGGTCTCATGTGACTTCCGTGAGTTATGCATGGTTTCATAACGTGACTAAAACTACCCAACACATGCTACTATTCATAGTACCCCATGTATTCACTGTTGATGGAGGAACACAGTGCATACAAATCCATGAAGTATTGACAATGTAAAGTATTTTAAGAGTGACTAATATTCAAGAAAATGTTTTTTGTGAAGTGCTGAAAAAAGGGTAAAAATGTCCTGGTAGTTGACACTGGGGTGAGAACATACAATGTACATGCATTTTGTTGATTTATCACAAATCTTTCCAAAGCTTCAGATATTGAAGCTCTTGAGCTTATGAATATCAAATTGTCATAAGTCATAAATATACAGGAAAATTCTTCTTGTTCAAGTTTTCTGTGTACTAGTCCCCTGTATCAGTAACATACATAACATATGAGGCCTCATAAAGGAGGTATTAGGAAATTAGTTTTGTTTTGTCCGAACACCATCTCTCATGTTCAGTCATATTTAGTGTCATGTTTCCATGACTTGGTGTAATTTCATATGAGTAATTATGTTGAAAGTATAGTTGCTCTCATATCTGTGATAACATTAGTGTTGGGTATCATCACTGAATTTTCATTGTGATAAATGATATGCATCATCAGTTTCCTGCCATGTACAAGCAAGTTGACTGTGAACAACAAACAAACAAGGAAAGGCAGAAAGAATATCCTCAGCATATCCTTATTTTATTTGCAGATCAGGTATGTTGTCAATTTGGTTATTGTCTTATTTACATTGTCTTTTAGATAATTTCTTTATCAAATGTCAAAGTTGTTTAAGGAACCCTGTATTTATGAATTGTCTCAAGAATGATTCTGTATGCAAACAAAAGATTGTCTAATTGTCTAATGAACAGAATAAACTGATATTCAGTAGCTTTGATGTGTTTGTTATAGTTAGCAAACTAATGGAAGACTGTGTGTAGCATTAACTAGCAGAGTTACACTGTGGTTAGCCCATTGGTGATACCTAACTAATACGTCCTGAACTGTCTTGTGTGTCATGTCTCCATTCTGTTAGGATGGAGAAGGTGACGGAGGACGAAGGACGCGTGTACCAGTCCTCAAGGTGCAGGAAATCACATTGCTGAGTTGCGGCATGTCAGAAACCTTTGATCATGGGTTTGAATCCCAGAGTTTAACTGATGTTTCTAGTTTTGTCAGCACCATACTTGTGCATGTGGGTTTCACAAAAATGGTACATATCACTGAGGGCTTTCTGACATGAAACTGCCAGTGTGTGATATCACTGGAATACTGTTAAATGTAGTTAGGGTAGCCAATGGGTCAAGGCCATTTATCCTAAGGGAATGAAGAATCTATATACATGTATGTGGTTTGGGCTGGACTCACTTGACCAGACAAACCAGGGGTTGATATTATGAGCAATGTCCCATGCTATCGGAGTACAATGTCACTTGAGGCTGACCACTCAACCTTTTCAATGCAGTGTATTTCGGTGACCAAGTCCCAGTCCCAACTGCCTCCATCTGTATCTTTTATTGTTGTCCACCATATTCGTTGTTCACCATACTCCCTGAACAAATACCCCACAAATAAACAGGATTAAATATATTTTTCAAAGTCGAATTTTCCTCAGATTTTTTCGTGTTTTCTGAATAATATCATCTTTATGAAATGCAACTTTATCAAAAATAGTACTCCTGAGATATTGATGTTTGCCAACATTTTCATTACGTCATCAAACCTTTTTCTTTATTTGAGACGGGCATCGATTCTGTACATGTCTTCCTTGGGTTGTACAGTTTCGGACATTTCTTTGCCAATTTAAACATGTTACCAAATGTTAGACTGTAACATTGCATGAAAAGTTGTCATGTAAATATCTGGGTAATATTTGTCAAAGTTTCTAAAATCTAACATTGTCCGGAAAAATGAAATTTGATGACAATAAAACCGATCGCCCAAACGCATCACGGCAACAGCCATGGTAACCCGATGCACGTGAGTTCCGTGCAAATTGAAATGTGGTCTCCAGAGGCAATGGTGTCACAGCAGTTCTGTACATTGATCAAGTCTTCAGACCACACGTCATACCTCATTTGGCACGTCGCCGCAACCACGAGTTTCAGCATGATAACGCCCGTGACAAGAGACTTCCTCCAGCAGAATGGCATCAGAACCATGCCCTCAGTCTCGATTTAAATCCCATTGAGCACCTGTGGGACGAGATTCAAAGACGGCTGAATGACGTCAGGCGTTCCTCAGAGTGTGGACACACGAAATACTGACATGTGATGCCATTTTCTCAGAGACTAGTGTTGTGTATCACTTTAAGAACATTTGACACTTTAATTTCAACCTTGATGATCAGTTTTGCCAAGTTTCATTTTTTTAATATGTCTCAAGGTATGTTTACAGTGTTTGGACGAATCAGGTTTCTCATATTTCTATCCATGGTGACGTTTCTCTGCGGTTAGTATATATTAAATACTTTCATTTTTCTCCTTTTGTTTTGATAAATGCAACACGATCAGCATTGGAAGAGCCGTGGATTATAGAGAGGTATTATTTGACCTGACAAGTTTTAACTTTCGAGCCCTTTGTACTGATGCTGTCCTATTGTCACCATCGCAAAGCAAAATATTTCAGGCAAATGTCTTAGCTAAACTGACAATCATGAATAACACATTTTGATTGTAAACTTGTTTTGGTTTTAAACAATTCCAAACATGTTTAGGAAACAGACATATTTAGTGATCACAACACGCTTTAATTATCGGACAAGGAATAAACGGGTTTTTACAACAGTGTGGCCTGTAAACGTCTACTGACTAAATTACATAAAGTATCTTGGGCCAAGTCGGACAGAACACAGACCAAACACTTCTGATAGATAGAGAATTTAGAGGAAACGGCTTCACTTTGAGCAACGTGTTAGCTTTAAATACAATGAACAGTGACATTATAACTTTGTGCTTAGTAGGGCTGGGACGGGTAACTCAGGTACTCGGGCCGGGTGGGTACTGAGTAGGACCCGGGTACCCACATGACTATCCGGACCCGTGGTTAGTCACGTGACATATTGTTTCATGACAAAATTTCACAATATAACTACATGGTTATACGACAATTTTAAGTCTCCAATGTTCGTATTCCTTCATCACTATGAACACGTTCCTTCTGACTTATATATGTTTGAACAAAGCTAAAACTTCAGTCATCTTCAGTGTATGCATGACCACATCGTTTATACGTGTATCTAAATACATTCTGCCAGGGCTACTGTCAAACTATTCCCAGTCGGACATTTTGTACATATCTCTTGACACCAACAGCGGGTACCCGGGTAAGGTCGGCTAATAGGGGTGTGGGTACCCGGGTAGTAAATTTGGACTCGTCCCAGCCCCCACTGCTTAGGTAGACATAAAACTAGTCTATAAATGTAAACACATTCGATGATACATCTGTGACGTTTAAGTTGATTTTGATAGTCCGGGTCATTTCGGACAGAACAAAAACTTCTGACAGTTACCATGTTGAGAATGTGGAGGAAAACGGCTTCACTTTAAGCAACGTGTTTGCTTTGAATACGACGAATAGTGACTTTATAAAGTGGTATTTAAAGGGGCACTGATCTAAAGCAATTCCCCGGGACTGGTTGTTGCCTTTGTTATGTTTTTTCCCCGTGAGTACCCGGATGATACGCAACGCAACTGAGCGTGACAAGAGACTGGGCTACCGTCTGCAAGGACAGCTAAATAAACTTGGAGGCAATATTTGTTTTACTCATGTTTGAACACTGATTGGTTAACCGTGATCTATAGAGATATAGTACTAGTCTACAGATGAAAACACATTTGGTGATAGATCTGTGAGGTTTTCGATGTTTTTATCCATACAAGGCAGGTTTTAAATGCCACGATCTGTGACACTATAAAGTGGCATTTAGGTAAATATAATAGTCTTTTTATATTTTAACAGATTCCATGATGCATCTGTGACGTGTAAGTTGACAATGTTGAGAGTGTAGAGCTAAAGAAGATTTCACTTTGACGAACAAGTCTTGTTATATACGATTTACTGTTGTCTTTTAAAGTTGTAATTCGGTATATTAAATATTGTTGGGTGGAGCTTAACATATTATATGATACATCTTTTATGTTTTAATTGAATTTGACGGCCCGGGCCAAGTCGAGCCGAACACTTGAGATTCCCATCTGAATGCACTGAGATGTGAGGAAAATGAAATGGCTTTCCGTAACTTACTTCCGCTCATCGACCGCTCGACTTCCTGACTTTCTAGGGATTTACTCGCAATGACTTAATTATGTTGCGCGTTTGTGGTTTGTGATTGTTCACTATTGTCATGTGTGTATGTTGCATTATTAACATGTAGGTATGGTCATCGATTATGGAGTAATTAGCAAATAACAAATAATATATGTTCATGATAATCATTTTTTTCTAAACTGCACATTCTGAGTCTAAATCTGCAAGATGAGAGACAAAATCCTTCTTTGTACAATTCAAACAATACAAACGTAGCGCCAATTTTGATAAAACTGATCTTTTTAGAATATTTTCTACCCGAGTGATTAGCCACTGTCTTGATACACTCATTGGGTCAGTAAATATATACGGCAAACCACAGTTATCAAGAATAGTTTTAACATTCTTGATCCAAACATTATCATAACTGCTATTGATATGCTGAAGATATGCGAATTTGTATTTCAAGTGCGATAGCTTAATTGAAGTGCCCGGTTTAGAAAGTTTATGCCAATAATTGATAACACGTCTAGCAACTTGAATAGGCAGAGGTGTTCTACCTAGCTCTCCATATACCATGAAGTTAGGGGTAGAGTTTCTAGGGCTACACGCCAGCTAAAGAAATTTGATGTGAATCTTTTCAATAACATCCATGTGTCCATATCCCCATTTTCCCCAACCATATATTAGAATAGGTAAAATTAATGCATTTATCATGTTTATGCGATTTATGCCAAACTTTTTATTACGTCTTAAAATTTCTATTTCTACTGAAGGTAACACCCAGATATGTATTATCATTCACAATTTCTAGCTTAGTGTTTCCATAGTGGAAGGATAAGTTACTATTTCTTGATGGACGGCTCCCAAAGATAAGTATTTTTGTTTTGTTCATATTCACATCTTATTTCCATATGTCACAGTAATTACGAAATGAGTTTAAAGCATCCTGAAGTTTAGGTGCTGAGTCGGCAAAAAGATTACAGTATCGCCGGCCTACAACAAAATGACGAAACATAGACACAAGTTTCCATGATGACAGTCACCAGTTGTAACGCTTGCGCAGCCATCGTCAAGTAAGAATGTTTCAAGATCATTAACAAACAGACAAAACAGAAGTGGCGATAAGTTGTCTCCTTGACGAACGCCTGATTAACATGGGAATGTATCTGTTATTTCACCGTTTGCTAATACACAAGATTTTATAATTGCATACATATTTTGTAGCAACAGTAGAAATTTACCTTTCATACCCGATTTTAATAGTTTGTCCCAACTTTCTATACATTATCGAAGGCTTTTGTGAATTCGAACACACAGTGTATTTATTTTTGTTATCTTTCAAATCTTTATAAGCATATCCATTACAAACATGTTATCATGGACAAATCTTTTCTAAATCCGGCTTGAGCGGTCTTAATAACAAGAAATGTATTCACCGTTATTGAGTATGGTGGTGAAAAGTTTCCCAAAGCAGCTCAGTAATGTAATAGGTCTATGCTCATTTTGGGTCTGATTTGTTGCCTTGACCTTACATGTAGGTCATATGGAGCCTGACAGCCAAGATAAAATTAAATTAAAATACTCAACATATACTTGTCTAAAGGTATCTGTTCCTGGTGACTTATTACGTTTCGGCCTCTTG